TCGCGCCTCTCCGCAGGGAGAGGTTTCGGGGCAGGGGTGAAGACCAAAGGTGGTCAGATTGGTTCATAGTGCCGTTGCTGAGATGTGTACATGCTACTGAATACGTGTACCAAAAATCATTTGAATATCTTCGTTCTGGACCGAAATATTTTCAAAAATCAAGAGGTAAATCTTTCTGCCCCACCCTGTAGGTATCTACTGTTAGCGCCAGACCCCTTGAGACCCTAATTTTTCGCGATTACTTTTAAATGCGTGAAGGAATTTCAACCAAGCTCAGGACATGGCCGTTTCAAGACAGGCCGAAACTTTTACAATTTAGATATTTTATCGCCATTTCAATATTTCAGGCACTTGTCATTGACTCGTAATGTTAAATTTCGAGCAAGATTTTCATCCGGTGTGTAGAGGCTATCACCAGTCAGTCTGTGATACGTTATGACGTCACAGCTAAGCCCCGCCTCTGTGGTCTTGGCCTGCGGCGGTTTCGGGCCGGCGCGCGGTCACTCTCGCTGTGGCGGGGAGCGGGGACGGGCGACGGTCGAGCGGTGCCGAAAGCCGGCGGAGTTGTGCGTAGCGTCTTGGCTGACAGTGCCCAGAGAGCGACATGATGACTAAGGAGTCATAAATGCTCAATGCGCATTGCTTCTACAATGCTGATATGTTCGCTGATATATATTTTTTTATAAGCTGCAAATGACGGGCAGATGGCATATAACTGACATAAGGTTAGGAAATATTCACCTGTATTTAAAGCCTATGGCGTTGCAGATAATGCGATAATGGGATGTCGGATGTCACCAAGTAGCTGCCGATTTGTACATCGCTATGTAACCATCGAACAACGCAATAATAAGTTAATTGCCTGAGCTTCACATCATACGGCTCGCTCGTATTTCAAACAGATACCCTACATCGAAAATCGTATTTGTTAGGAATCGTTAACGTTTGTTCGAAGCACGACTGAGTAGTAGGTTGAGGAGTGATGGTCCTCTTGGTCCTATATACAAGAGTCAACAAGAGCCTAACATTTACTTGACCGTCTGCTGCAATTGACTCATAGCACGTGAAGCGTCAGCGAAATTCATAGTCCTTCACAGATGGCAGAAGTGTCGTTTGTACAGAGGTCGCTGATGGGCACGGGTCAATGCCGCAGTCGTGGGCGGAGCCTAATGTCATATGACGTAGAAAGCCTCTATCCAGGATGGAAAAACAGTTAACATTACGAGTCAATGACAAGTGCCTGAAATATTGAAATGGCGATTTTTTTTTCGAACTACTCCGCCACCCATGATCAGGTGACCAGGAGTGCCCCCGCCCTCAAACCCAGCGACTAGCAGAACCTTACGTTAACACCAGATAAAATAAACTGATAAGTCGCGGCACTCCCTGCTAAGAAAGGAAATAAAACTAAAAAAAGCAAATGAGAGAAGGGGTAGCGGGTTTAGGCGGAGACAAGAACAGAATGCGAAAGTAGCCACTGCTGAAACCAGACAGATGACTGTTCTCTACTACGATACCGAAAGCAACTTTCACTCAGAAGGGCATGCATTCATCTAGAGTAGAAAAAACAATCGCTCATTCACACGTCATGCAAACATACGTGGGGATTCGCTCTGGCATAGATAACATGAACTACCTGGATTGGACACTCGTTTTTGGCGCCAAAAATAAGAGGCCACTTTGGCCTCTTATTTTTAAAGGCGGCCTGTAACACTTTTGAGAGGCTGATATCTCAGCAACCACTGGGCCGATTAGCCTGCGGTCTTTTTTGTTCGGTAGCCCCATCCCTTCTGCCCCATAATTGACTTCTCATGATGCGTCTAGGTGACTGCCGTAGCACGTGCCACGTGAAAAGTCAGGGATGTTCACTGTTCAGGGTATTTTGCATAAGTAGCGCTTTTGCGAGGCTTATATCTCAGCAACCACTTGACCGATGTACATGCGGTAATTTTTGTAGGGTAGCTTCATTCATTTTACCAAGTATTGGACTGTTCCCGATGCATGTGGGTGACCCCTTATGCACGTGCCACGTGCAATACGAAGAAGTGTCAGTTTTGTAACAATTGCAATATCTCGGTAACTACTCGGTCGATTGCGTTGAAACTTGGCATACAAATACGCATCCACCGGGCAATGTATATCCATGTGCCAGAGATGGGGTGCTGCTGCACGTGCGCACGTGCAGGGCAGGGGTCGTTTCCAGATCTCGAGAACGGCTGGACCGATGGCGCTCAAATTTGGTACACGGTTAGGGACCAGTTAGAAGGGTGCCGTGCACAAGTCAGTTGGGACCCATATTGCACGTGCGCACGTGCAGGGTGCCGCTTCCAGATCTCGAGAACGGCTGGACCGATGCCGCTCAAATTTGGTACACGGTTAGGGACCAGTTAGAAGGGTGCCGTGCACAAGGCAGTTGGGACCCATATTGCACGTGCGCACGTGCAGGGTGCCGCTTCCAGATCTCGAGAACGGCTGGACCGATGGCGCTCAAATTTGGTACACGGTTAGCGACCAGTTAGAATGGTGCCGTGCACAAGTCAGCTGGGACCCATATTGCACGTGCGCACGTGCAGGGTGCCACTTCCAGATCTCGAGAACGGCTGGACCGATGACGCTCAAATTTGGTACACGGTTAGGGACCAGTTAGAAGGGTGCCGTGCACAAGGCAGTTGGGACCCATATATTGCACGTGCGCACGTGCAGGGTGCCGCTTCCAGATCTCGAGAACGGCTGGACCGATGGCGCTCAAATTTGGTACACGGTTAGGGACCAGTTAGTAGGGTGCCGTGCACAAGTCAGTTGGGACCCATATTGCACGTGCGCACGTGCAAGGTGTCGCTTTCACATCTCAAGAACGGCTGGACCGATGGCGCTCAAATTTGGTACACGGTTAGGGACCAGTTAGTAGGGTGCCGTGCACAAGTCAGTTGGGACCCATATTGCACGTGCGCACGTGCAAGGTGTCGCTTTCACATCTCAAGAACGACTGGACCGATTGCATTCATATTTGGCACATCGCTATAGACCGGTTAGTAGGGTGCCGTGCACCGAGAAAGTTGTGGCTCTGCGCGTGCTCACGCGCGCACGTGCACACCCCTCCGTCATATCTCGGGAACGGACTGACCGATTGCAATGAAATTTGGTGTGTGGCTGGATGCTGACCGTGTATGAGTTTTTCTAGTCGACGAAGGTGAGGTAATGCACGTGCGCACGTGCACATCCCATAGTTCCAGCTAAAAATGGGACACGCCGCCTTCAATAAAAAGCTGGTGTGCGATTGAAGGATAACAAAGTGTCGTGACTGTGTGCCTCAGAAGGGTGTGAATATGCACGTGCCACGTGCACACCTCATAATAACGGCTTAATAACGAGCAGGCCCGATATTGATCGAAGTTGGCTTACGATTAGGGAATAACAAAGTGCATTGATGGTGTGCATCACAATGGGTGGGAATATGCACGTGTGCACGTTCACACCCCATTTTAAAGTTAACAAAACTTTTGGATCAAACTTGGCGTGCCATCAGGGAATAGCAAGGTGTACTGATTGTACGCATCAGAATGGCTGTGAGCATGCACGTATGGAGGTGCACAGCCCATTTTTTACAGCTGAAAAACTGGCAGGCTGATGATGATCAGATTCTTATTGTATCGTGAACATAAGGTCATTTTTAACACCATAATATTCATAATAATGCTCAAACTAGCCATAGCTCATCTTCACCGAAGTGATCAGATTCGGGCTATAATCGATAACTCAGCTCGCTCAGGCTAGAGATTACGGTCAGGTCAGGTACATGCCTACTTTACAGTTGCGCATATTCACATCCCACCTTATGCTTAAGAGTGAAGCGGGCTGGTAATAATATAGGTACTTTAGTACATGCGTTGTGGGAGAGGCATAAATGTGCACACTCATAAGATTTGTATCCTATACGCACAACCACCTACGCATGGGTGCCTCAGACTAATATTCGTTCTCATTAAAAAAAAAACACATTTGCTTACACAATTGTTAACCCGCTGGTGGCCTGAACTTGGAACTTGGCTGGGGGGGGGGGGGGCGTTTTCACGCTCCCCCGTCTAACTCGATTCCTGGGCCACGTAGCGACACGCGGTAAGGGGTATTCGAAAGAGCGTTAAAAATAATGACGGAAACTCTTCAGTCATTTTTTAGGTCCGGTCAAAAGTCAGGTCACCAGAGTCATCAAAAGTCAAATTAAGTCCATTTCAATAATTAATTTTGGAAACTTTCAACGGCTAACTCGAAAACCAATAAACCTACAATGCCGCGGAAAAGCGTATTCGACAGACCTTTTCAAGGCCTTTCTAAATATTGTTCTCAGATTTGACATCAGATCAACGGTTAGCCTCCAGGGGGCAAAAACTGTCAAAATAGCCGTTTTCACGAAAAAAATGTTTTTCGGGAATAGCTCAAGGCCCACATTTCTTTTGATGTGGCCCTCAAGACAGCCAGTTTATTTTGGCAGCATCGTATTCCTCTCGTCGAGACGCGTCGAATCAACTATTTATTGACCTTGAAAGGTTATTTTGAAAATTTGACCCCAGGTCAAGGTCATGACCTGACCGGAAAGGGTCATGTTCCATATCAGTCGATCCGTATCGTCGAGCTGAACACTTATGACGTGTTTTTACCGCTCTAGCACGCCTCTATTAAAAGTTATAGCCAAAAAACTGCTGGCGACCGTTTATGACCTGAGATGACCTCAGCGGCACACAGAGGGGTTACATGCCAACCAGCAAAAACGCACGCAGAAAACGCATAATGTAGCCAGGCCTTTACACAAAACATGCGTTTCTATTTTGTAAATTTATTTGCAATTTTGCTATTTGCTGTCAAATTAGGCAAGAAACGAAAGAATGTTTAAACTGAAGTGCACGCGACATTCAACAGCTGTTAAAGCATTTTTGAGAGTCGTTTTGAAAGTCACGAAAGGCAAGAGGCTGCTTTTTATTATTTCATGACAGTGCGATGAATGATATTGTTTCTTTATATGCCATTAGTTACATTCTATAATGTAAGCAGATAAGTCCGTCGGCGAGCAGTGTAAATATGACAGTTAAATGCGCTGCGCTTAACTGTCGGTCGGGTTATAAGAACAAGAAGAGAGATGCCGTGCTGTATAAAGAAGGTGAGACGAGCGAGAGAACGACATTTAAAAAATGTGTATTCAGATTTCCCAGAAACAAAACCGTTCGCGATCTCTGGCTGAAGGCACTGGGCAGGACAGATTTTGATGCTACCCAAACAGGCGTATGTGAAAAACATTTTAAGGCCAGTGATCTTCGACGGGCCGAAAAGGATGACAACGGAAAGATAAAACGTACTCGTCTGCAACCCAACGCGGTGCCTTCTATCTTCGACGGTCATGTAGACTCGGACACCGGACCACCGGACCCTGCGAGACCGACAAAGCTCGCATCCTCGTCTGCTCGCCAGTCACGCGATAATAAGCGTCTGGAAGACCTCTTGACTGCATTCCAGGAACACGACAGCCTAACTGATTTGTCAGACTTGCAGCACAAACTACAAAGCGAGAGACTGCCATCTGGATTCAGGTATGCTATACTGTTTTTGTATCCAAACATTAACCCGTGCCCGGGTGGGTATCGCAGCCAAATTCGCCATGGTGGAGGGGGGGGGGCGTATTTGGCCACACCAGGTTATCTCCGAGAGTAAGAAAGCTAGAATGACGCGAGAAAAGATATAGATAGAGCGCTTTACAGATCTTTCAAAGTCACCCCGGTCATGTTTTTTCATGTTGTCAGTGATGAGGTGACTGGATGTCACCAAATTTAATTAAAATGATATCGAATTTTTTTCACCGATTTTGATACTTTTTCCTTAACCTTTGCCCCAGTAAGGGGGGCTATATGTTACCAGCCTGTCGCGTTTTTTTTTTGCGTGTGAATAAAAAACCGCGGCGCGTAGCGCCGCACCGCTTGGAGTAACTTGCTGTACATTAATTTTGGAAAATGTGTGAAATTTTTGACCCCAGGTCATGTCAGGTCAGGTCACCAGGTCAAGTTAACTGACCAAGCCTAAAAACTTTGCGATCATGTCCAGCCTGCAGTGTTTGTCAGAGGTATTAAACTTGGTGGATGGCCTGATGTTATGGGCACCTAGAATTTGCATATCTCGTATTTTTTATATCCGTGCGTGACCTAAGGTCAGGCCAGTGGCGTGGCCTTTCCATTATAAGTCAATGGAGAAAAATGAAAATGCCTCTAGATCCGTTTGTACGCATAGGAACAGTCCAAATACTTCAGAATCATAATGATTTGGACCACCCGTGACGACCAATTTGTCTTTTTTGCTGATAGCCTCTTGAAAGGTCATCCGAGGTCATTTGAGGCTACAACCATATTTTTGCCAATAACCCTCGATTGGAAAGAGATAGAACACTTCATTGATGGCTTCATTGTGTTTGTCTTGTCGAGACGCATCTAATGATATGCAACATGACCTATTTAGTATTTAGGTCACCATGTGACCTTGACCTGAGGTCAAAGTTTGACCTTGACCTTTCCAAGTAAAAAACATATTTTTTGAAGCGACTAAAGGATAGAAGAAACACGATAGTGCCATTGCCAATTCTTCATCTTTGCTGGTTCAGAAGTTATTCGTGAAACAACGTTTTATCCAAAAACAGCTATTTTCACAATGGTTGAACTATGGAGGCTTAACCGTTGACCTGACGTCAATTTTGATGATGAAATTATCAAAAGAAGAGTTCAAAAGATATCGATCGCTTTTCCATGCGTTTTCTAGCTATCATAGTTCCTGAGATGACGGCATGTTTTCTAAAAAATATGACATTTGGCAAATTGATGACCTGTGATGACATCTGGTGACCCCAATATTGCTCTAAGATGAAAAATGACTAAATACTTTCAAACGTACGCATTGAGAGCTATCGACTGTTTTTACCGCGTCTTTCTAGCCCTCTTAGTTTTTGAGTTAGAGGTGGGTGTGGTAACATATGCCCCCCCCCCCCTCCCACTATGGCGAAGTTGACTGAGACCACCACTGGGGCGCGGGTTAAATCGGCGTAAAACTCGGGAACCAACAGCGCTATAGCGCCGCGGAAAAGCGCATTCGATAGCTCTTTCAAAGCTTTTTGAATACTGCTCTTATATTTTTTCCGCTAAGAGTTGGCTGAGAACCACATTACAGCGTGGGTTTTAGCTAATATTTGATGGCCCGAAATTGTGCAAAATTTGTATGGCTTTACATCCAATCCACCACCCATGTAAAAGCATGCCTACCCACTTTAAGATAAAAGATGAGCAGGGCATTAAGATTTTACCTCATTTTTGCTTTCAGACCTGTGCTCATGGATCTTGACAGCAAGCCACTGCTCAGCATCCGTGCTGAAGAAGTCGACGCCGAAACCGGATTGCCAACGATAGTCCATAACGTGTCGGTTTACGAAGACATGTCTTTCAAGATCCACCACCAAGGTGTTTTGCTGTCCACGGATACTATGCTGGACATTGTACCGTCTACGAAGTTGTCAACAACAAGTCAAGTGCTAAATGTGCTTGCCCGTCTGAGAACGCTGACTGCTGACGCTGCTTCACGTCTTCAGGCGGCAGCACGAATGCTCGAGGAGGTGTGCAGTGATCCCAGCAGTGATGAAGCTCTTCGGCCACTGGTGTCATTCACAGCGGAGCAGCTGCGACTGGTCACCAAGAAGGCAAACGGTAGAAGGTACTCGTCTGACCTTCTCTGCAACGCAGTTGTCTGGGACAGACTGAGTCCCAGACTGTACAGCCAGCTTCAGACGTCTGCAATGTTTTGCCTGCCTAGCTCAAAGACTGTCCGTCGACTAACTTCGGCTCTTCAGATGGGCATTGGTCTTGACGACGCGACTATGACCTACTTGGGCATGCGTATAGAGGCGCTCGAACCACGAGATCGGCTGGTGAACCTTTCAATGGACGAAGTGTACACAGCTCAATCCGTTGAAATGGCAGGAGGCAGAGTGTACGGAATGGGTGATACGGCTGAAGATGTCACCAAAACACTCTTCTGCACCCACATCAGCTCCGTGGCCGGGAGCTACAAAGACATGGTCAGCATGACACCAGTGTCACACGTCTCAAAGAACCAGGTCAAAGACACTTTTGACAAGGTTCTTAAGGGTCTCACGGACGTGGGTTTTAAGGTGGTGTCAGTAACAACCGACAACCATCGAGTGAATCAGGCCTTTCACAAGTCCCTCGGCACAGGTGGCGACCATCCAGAGTTCATCATCAACCCATTCACAGCAACAGAAGAACGCATTTTCACGATGTATGATACCGTGCATCTATTCAAGAACATCTACTACGGACTTATGAAGCAGAGGTCGCTGAGCTGTCCTCCTTTCACCGACTCTAAGGCAAGTTGAACTGCAGCTAGCTGCAAAATTTACCCCAGGTGTAGGTCACGGGAAAGGTCATGTTGCATATAAGCCGATTTGCATGGTTGAGCTGAACACATTTAACCCGCGCCCCGCTGGGGTCCTGGATTTCCACGCCCTGCTGGGGGGGGGGGGGGGGGTGAACACCTCCCCTCTAACTCATACTCCGAGCCACGTAGCGACACGCGGTAAGGGGTATTCGAAAGAACGTCGAAAACCATGACGAAAATACTTGGTCATTTTTTAGATCAGGTCAAAGGTCAGGTCACTAGAGGCCATCAAATGTCAACTTTTGCTATTTCAACATTTTTCGAAACTGCCAACGGACAACTCGGGAACCAATAGAGCTACAGCGCCGTGGAAAAGCGCGTTCGATAGCTCTTATACAGTTCTTTCTGAATAATGTTCTCAGATTTGACCTCAGGTCAACGGCTTAGCCTCCAGAGCGCAGAAACTCCAAAAATAGCCGCTTTTTAGGAAAACATGTTTTTCTTCAATACCTAACTCTTGACTCAAGAGCCACGACATTAATTTTGCCAGCATCGTGTTTCTCTCGTCGAGACGCGTCGAATGAACTATAATTTGACCTTCAAAGGTCAATTTGAAAATTTGACCTTTGGTCAAGGTCATGACCAAGGGCAAGGTGTGACCGAAACGCTCCACTCAACTTTGGGTCAGGTAAATGAACAAAGAGTCTGGGAATCGGGACCTGTTTGTTATCATTACTCAGGCTGCTCTTTTTTTTCTAGACAGCTGGCTGACTATATTTTTTACTCCTTTGCAGGCACAACATCCACTGGCAGTGGATTTCAATCATCTGGAGCTAGTGTTCAACATGGAGCGCGGAAACCCAGCCAAATTGGCACATAAACTCACCGACAAGGTCCTGCACCCATCGTGCCTTGAAAAGGTGAATGTCAAGCTGGCTGCTGCGGCAACTCACGAGTCGACATCCGCTGCACTCCGCCACTTTGCAGAGCATCAGCCGAAGTTCGCAAGCTTCAAGGACACCGCCGAGTTCTTGGAGCTCGTGCGTCGATGGTTTAACATCTGTAACGTAAAGTCGCCGCACATGGCAAGCAGGCTGAATGACGACAACCGTGTGCCGTTACGCAAGAACTGCGAGAAGAGCGCAAACTCACTCCAGTTTCTGGTAGACTTCGGTACGTTCATGCGCGACTGGGTGCAAAGTGATTGCCCTGTGACAGCCAAACTGTCGAAGGACACGGGCATGGCAGTGTACTACACCTGCAGAGGTCTGCACGGTCTCGCCAACCATCTCCTGGAGCGCTACCCAGACGTCGTCCAGTACGTGCTCCTCGGCAAAGTCCAGTCGGACGCCATCGAAGGACATTTTGGCCATTTGAGAAAACTGGCTGGGAGCAACTACTGGGCCAGTGTACGTCAGTTCATGGAGGGCGAAACGGTCATCCGCGTCAGCAGTCTTATCTGGTGGTCTGGAGTAAAGGTCTCCGAACTACCGACCAGAATGGCACTTTCACAGAAGACCAGAGCCCAAGGTGACTCAGCAGCCGTACTCAAGCTGAGAGAAGCTGTCGAAGAATCAGAAGACGCTGAACAAGACCAGCCGTCTGATTCAGAAAAGGCAGCACTGGGGCATATCGCCGGATACCTGGCTCGGTCAGCAACAAAAAACGGGCAGTGCAAGGAGTGCTCCGACGTTCTGGTCTCAAGAGAGCATGGTAGCATACCCATTCAAGTGAACGATGAGGACCAGGAGGACAGCATCGTCCAGTCTTTCACGAAGATATTGGATCGAGGGCGACTCATCGTGCCGTCCTCGCTCGCCATAGAAACCACGATGCTTATCCTTAGAATCTGGAAAGAACTCGTGCGAAAAGAGGCCTCAAAAAGACTTCTTTTTGAATGCTTTAGTCCTAGAGAGGCATTTGTCGACGTGGTAAAAGCAGTCACGACACGAAGCTCCATCGTCAGAGATACAAGCTGCCCCAAGGGGCATGGATTCGCCCAAAGCTTGGAACGTATGTCAAGGGCCTTGTTTAACCTGTTTGCAGGCAACATGGTGAGGGACATCAACAGCGCGATCCATGCCAAACGTGGAAACTGTGCAGCGAAGAAAGCAACAGACGATAAGAGGCGTAAGCTATCCGGCATCAAGAAGAGCTAGAGCCTAGAGGTACTAGCACACACACGAAGAGGCGTGTGCGATCTCGCACATGTTGTCGAGAACTCAACTGAACTGTGGTAGTGCTTTCGTGCCTCGCCCTTTACCTTTCCGGGCTAACCTCTGGAGATAGCCTACGGACTCCCATGGACTGTGGAAACTGTCATACGGCGCCGTCCCAGTCTGGCCGACCGGGCGTACCGTAGTCCCACATGCGTGAGCGTGAGGAGTGTGGTGATCCACAATTGTGTTAAGTGCTCTTATGCCGTTGTTTTTTTTTATACATAGGCTTAGTTTGTACAAGACGCTCGGTTGGATGGGCATGGATGGGCATTCTTACTTCTACCTCGGCTGGATGGGCATTCTTACTTTTCCTCGGGCTTGGGGTGGTCATCTAAAAAACTCTTGCCTGTTTTGGTCAAGCAGGCCAAAACGACTTTTATTTATGTGTTGTGCTCCGTGCTCATACTGCGATGAAATGTGCTTTTCAGTGACATGTATGTGGAAACCAGTTATATTTGGTGATTTTCGAAGAAATATAAATAAGGTGTGCATGTGCGCACGTGCATTACTTTACCTTCGTCGACTGAGAAAAATTCATACACGGTCAGCATCCAGCCACACAACAAAAGCAACAAACAGCCACACACCAAATTTCATTGCAATCGGTCAGTCCGTTCCCGAGATATGACGGAGGGGTGTGCACGTGCGCGCGTGAGCACGCGCAGAGCCACAACTTTCTCGGTGCACGGCACCCTAATAACCGGTCTATAGCGATGTGCCAAATATGAGTGCAATTGGTCCAGTCGTTCTTGAGATGTGAAAGCGGCACCCTGCACGTGCGCACGTGCAATATGGGTCCCAACTGACTTGTGCACGGCACCCTTCTAACTGGTCCCTAACCGTGTACCAAATTTGAGCGCCATCGGTCCAGCCGTTCTCGAGATCTGGAAGCGGCACCCTGCACGTGCGCACGTGCAATATGGGTCCCAACTGCCTTGTGCACGGCACCCTTCTAACTGGTCCCTAACCGTGTACCAAATTTGAGCGGCATCGGTCCAGCCGTTCTCGAGATCTGGAAGCGGCACCCTGCACGTGCGCACGTGCAATATGGGTCCCAACTGACTTGTGCACGGCACCCTTCTAACTGGTCCCTAACCGTGTACCAAATTTGAGCGCCATCGGTCCAGCCGTTCTCGGGATCTGGAAACGACCCCTGCCCTGCACGTGCGCACGTGCAGCAGCACCCCATCTCTGGCACATGGATATACATTGCCCGGTGGGTGCGTATTTGTATGCCAAGTTTCAGCGCAATCGGCCGAGTAGTTACCGAGATATTGCAATTGTTACAAAACTGACACTTCTTCGTATTGCACGTGGCACGTGCATAAGGGGTCACCCACATGCATCGGGAATAGCCCAATACTTGGTAAAATGAATGAAGCTACCCTACAAAAATTACCGCATGTACATCGGTCAAGTGGTTGCTGAGATATAAGCCTCGCAAAAGCGCTACTTATGTAAAATACCCTGAACAGTGAACACCCTTGACTTTTCACGTGGCACGTGCTACGGCAGTCACCTAGACGCATCATGAGAAGTCTATTATGGGGCAGAAGGGATGGGGCTACCGAACAAAGAAGACCGCAGGCTAATCGGCCCAGTGGTTGCTGAGATATCAGCCTCTCAAAAGTGTTACAGGCCGCCTTTAAAAATAAGAGGCCAAAGTGGCCTCTTATTTTTGGCGCCAAAAACGAGTGTCCAATCCAGGTAGTTCATGTTATCTATGGCTCTGGTCAAAAATTCGGCCGGTCAATGCTGAGGGCAGAAAAGCCTTTCCAGCTAAGCGAAGCTTGTTGCTGGTCAGGCTCCTTGCTCCAGCGCCAGAGTTATTCATGGTGACGATGATGAAAATAATTTCGATGAAACGTGATTTACTTGCAATTAGTGCAGTTTTGAGGCAAGTACATTTGAAATTAAGTTGCAATGAAAGGATAGCGAGAATTCAAGAGGAAATTCTCGAGAAAGCTTACATATTTTGTATGAAGTATGCTTTGACGTGTCTTTTTAGCTGAGATTTAGACATCTGATTAATGGTTGTTATAGAGAATTGGGATGCAACGACATTATTCCAGACACGCGGTCCTATCCATGATGCTATTTGTGCACGATAACGTTTTGCCGAGAAGGGTTCGTGAAAATGTTGTCTATTTCTTGTTCTTATATTATCCTGATCTACAGGGTGTCCCAGAATTACCCGGACATTTATTTTCTGGCTAAAAGTACGATTGCGCTCGATTCTAATGATATACAAGCATCATACTTTTATAAGATATCCCTTAGCTATCGAGCTTGGGGACTGTGTGCTTTTGGTGACCGGTAACGACTCGAGTTAAGTATTATCCAGAGTCAAGTAAGAGTAGTCCTTTTCCGTTTTCAGCTTAAGCCATTAATAGGCAACCATGGTGAATCAACTCCCGTTTTCAACTTTGTAATCGGACCTTCGGCATGGTTTTTGCTGGAGAGCTTCAGCAGCTCATCTGCAAGCAGTTAGGATTGAGCAAAGCGCAATTATATCAGCTAACGAAGCCAGAGAGAGCAAGAGATAAACCTGATTGACAAGCTTGGGCTCGGCCAAAAAGGGCCATGCACCAGTTGTCAAACGGGTGGTTGCTTGTCATGGACAACAAACGTCACTGATCTAGCTAAAAACTAGCTAAACGATAGATCAGGATTATCTAAAGAACATCAGTCTACTTTCCACCACTATCTTCGCAAAATTTTGGAATTTGAGGTCCCTCGCCTGAAAAATATGCGAAAACTACGGGAAAAGCAGCGAAAATCACTACAATTCATCCCAAAAATATAACATTTACAACAAAAAATTATATTGAAGCACACTTTGTGGTCTAACGAAGGTATTCTGTCATTTGAACCGCCCGAAAAAGGCTTGTGTGAACGTCAGATGGCTACAACGCCCCAACAGCATAGACGGCCAGGCACCCGTCGAAAATCAAATTGTGAGACATTTTGAGCCACCGTGCACTCATTCGGCTTGATATGATGGCCCAACGACAGCCGTTAGCACAGAGTACTACGGCGGTAATATTCTACAAGTAAAAAAACTGGATGCCGTAAACCAAATGGCCATGAACGGGTTTGTTTTGGAAACCAAATCTGTTGGAAGCCAAAGGTCCCGCCATGTTCAGACATGGAGCTTCTCCACTTCAGATGTAAAAAACGCGGCAAAAGTGGTGCAGGCAGCAATTTTTGTTTTGGGGGATAATGCCTTATGACCTAGGAACACTTTGATGTTAAGTTTATCTTAAATGATCGTATTATCCTCCAGCAACAGGTCAAAGAAAACAGGCCTTCACCCAGTTTCGGGAGAGCCGTAAAACAACTGAGACCAGCAATGGCTGGCATTTTCAATCATTGTCGGCTGATCTTGTAACAAGCGTATCTATTGCATGTGCTATTTCACAGCCACCCTAGTTGACTATGTAGGACGATAAAAAGAAAAAAGCGCAATCATGTTTGCCTTATTTTATACGCTAATTAACAATGTCCGGGTAATTCTGGGACACCCTGTACTGTAGCAAACAATTGGTTAAGTTGTGATGGTAAATGTGAAGCGAATTTTCGATACATGAACATGATAAGTTGTTGTCTAGCTAGTGCGTTTACTTTAAGAACATTGAGCTTACGAAATATGGGCATAGTATGTGCAAGACGATGTTCATTTACTATAATTCGAACTGCTCGTTTTTGTAATACTTCGATTTTGTGGAGATAAGTTGGATATGTGAAACCCCAGATTAGGCAGCAATAGTTTAAGTAAGGAAGAATCAGTGAGTTGTAGAGCAAGAGTAATGACTTTTCAGGAAGAAAGTACTTCGCTCTACTCAAGATTCCAATATTTCTACTGATAATGATTGCTATGTTATCGATGTGGTATTTCCACTTCAAGGCAGGGTCAATAGTGATGCCTAGATATTTTACTTTTTCTGCTATTTCAATTTTTTCACCATGTATCATAATGTTCAAATTAACGATATTACCCATTTGGTTGTATACTTGGTAAATGGTTTTTTGTACGTTGAGTGTGAGTTTGTTTGCTTGAAGCCAAATGGATACAGCTTCAAGTTCTTTATTCATATTTTCTTGTAGTTCCTGTGTATTTTCACCTTCAAAAAGTAAGGCTGTGTCATCAGCATATAGAAGGCATTCTGATTTTTTGCATACATTTTTTAAGTCATTTATGTATATAAGGAAGAGTAAGGGGCCTAGGATAGAGCCTTGGGGCACTCCTAGCTTAATACTTTGAAAAGAGGATCTAGTACTTTTAAATTCTACACATTGTTGTCTGTTTGTGAGATATGACTTGATAAAGCGAAGAGCACGACCAGTAAATCCGTATTTACGACATTTGCTGATGAGTATGTTGTGGTTCACTGTATCAAATGCTTTTTTAAGGTCAATGAATACCGCTGAGGACATTTTCCCATTTTCCATGCTTTTTGTTATTCGTTCTTGCAGGAGTACTATAGGGCTAGGCATGTATGTTGATAAGGATTTTTGAAAGCCAAATTGATCCTTACATAATATGTCATTCTGTATGAGGTATGCATTGATTCTCTGGTGTACAATCTTTTCTAGAAGTTTGGAAAGATAGGGAAGGATACTAATGGGTCTATAGTTGCTAAATATATTTTTACTTCCAGATTTGTATAATGGCTTCACCACAGCCATCTTCATACATTCAGGAAATGTTCCAGTACTCAACGATATGTTTATTAAATGAACCAATTGACTGAGTATTGCTGGATATGTATTTTTGAATATTTTTGAATTGATGTTGTCAATACCAGCACCAACATTTTTCATATTTCTTATCATGGAGTCTAATTCTGCAGAATTTGTTGGGTGAAAATGATCAAATGTGTTTTCGATAAAATATCTAAATTGTAAAAGTTTCGGCCTGCCTTGAAACGGCCATGTCCTGAGCTTGGTTGAAATTCCTCCACGCATTTAAAAATATTCGCGAAAAATTAGGGTCTCAAGGGGTCTGGCGTTAACAGTAAGGTGCTCTGATGTTCATATCAGTCTTTTTTGGATAATCACTGCTAATAAAATAAACTAGTTTAACTTAAACAAATGAGGTGAGCTCAAGCCATTGTATTGTATTGTATTAACCCGCGCCCGGCTGGGGGTCCTGGATTTCCACGCCCTGCTGGAGGGGGGGTGTTTGAACACCCCCCCTTGTAACTCGGCTCCTGGGCCACGTAGCGATACGCGGAAGGCGGCGTTCGAAAGAGCGTAAAAAATAATGACGAAATCACTTCGGTCAATTTTTTGGTCAGGTCAAAGGTCAGGTCACCAGAGGTCATTGAAGGCAAAATTTCGCCGATTTCCAGGTCGAATGTCGAAAATTTCCAAGAAGCCAACGCATCACTCGGGAACCAATAGAGCTACAGCGCCGCGGAAAAGTGCATTCGATAGCCCTATTAACGCCCTTTCTGAGTAAGGGTCTGTTCCCGTCGCTCCTCCCAAAAAATCTCGGATGAGGTTGGATGAGCTTGGAGGAGAGCCGTTTCAGAGGAGCCACGGGAACATTTTCGCGAGGAAATCAGCTGTTTGCGGGCTGTAACGGTCGGCGATTTATGGCGCACAAACATAAATCAAGAGATAATAATCGCTTTCTAATAAAATAACCTTAGATTAATATCAAACATTACTATTTAAAGATATCCAATCGTCATCAATCACTTAAATCATTTCCTTTTCCCTCAAATCTCATTTATAAACAATTCACATTTGTATTACGTGCGCCAAATATGTCTACGCAAGAGCCTCCTCCAAAAAACCAACTTTCGTTTGGGATGAGGGAGGAGGCAAATAGTGGTGGTGAGATGTGAAATCAAGATGAGCTTGGAGGAGCGACGGGAACGATTTTTTGAAACGAGAGGAGGTTAGAGGAGCTTGGAGGAGGTTAGAGGAGCGACGGGAACAAACCCTAATTCTCTCAGATTTGACCTAACGTCAACGGTTTTGCCTGCAGGGGGCAAAAACTGCAAAAATAGCCAATTTTTTTCGGAAACAGTTTTTCTGCAATAACTTTTGACCCAAGCCTTGTACGAGCTTACTTTTACCGGCATCGTGTTCCTCTCGTCAAGACGCATCGAATGAACTATAACTTGACCTTGAAAGGTCAACTCGAAAATTTGACCTCAGGTCAAGGTCATGACCTGACCGGAAAGGGTCATGTTGCATATGAGTCGATCCGTATCGTCGAGCTGAACACATTTAAGGCGTTTTCATCCCTCTAGCATGCCTCTATCAAAAGTTATTTGCGAAAAACTGTTAGATACCATTCGTGACCTAAGATGACCTCAGGGCACAAACAAGGGTCACGGACACCATTTTCATGTTCAGTGTGTCTAAACCACTTGTAATTCGGTGTTTGGGAGTGTTTATAATGTCTTTCGTCTAAAAGAGGCGCATTTCAATTTTCTCCCATTGACTTATAATGGGGAGGTCGCAAAATTGACCTGACCTTAGGTCATCGATATCAAAATTCTGAGATATACATTTTGTACATGCTATTGCTCTTAGCAATCGCTGAAAGCTTCAAAGCGATCGGTCACTCGGTGTAGCTATGACAGACATTGAAACTTTTTATGAGGTGAGGTCACTTCAAGTGACCTGGTGACCTGACCTTGAATGACCTTGGTCTGAAATTTTCACAACATGTGTAGAATTGATGTATGATAAGGTGTACCAAAAACGGCGGCGCTCCGCGCCGCCGTTTTTGAGATATTCGCGAAAAACCACAAGGGGGGGTGTTCAAACACCCCCCCCAGCAGGGCGCGGGTTAATTAATGTATTGTGTTGTAACCATCATGGACTATCCACATGTGGTGTGGTGATTACTGCCCAGAACCATGTTGATCTTCAGGCATGTGGGCAGGGACACTCAACATGAGCATATTCATACTCCTGTTAACCCATACTTTCCACAGTCTGCAGTGCTGATATTACATGTAGAGCCTGCATAGCATATAAAAAGCCCTGATTGTTATCAGTGTGGGTTCTAGAATGGTTTATCTGTCTATTCAACATTCAAAGTGAAAAAATGGCTCAGGCTTTCCTTGGGCCTGTTTTATATATACCTACTTGCATTGTAAGCCCACTAGGATGGTTTCTGATACCAAATTCCTGATTGATCACATGCACTATATGGGACCATCAGGCCAAGTGGTCTTCAAAATTCCTATATACTAATGCTAGGCATGCCACATAGGCGAGGGCACTGGGGCACCGGCGTGCCCCCCTTTGCTTTTGGCATTTTAACATTAGCCCTATGGGCATTGCATGGAAAAATGGGACCAAAAGTCGGCAGTGCCCCCCCCCTATTCAATCTTCATTGAAGGTGTTCCGCTGCTACTGGCGTGCCATGCTATGCTAGGCAGTAGGCATGCTGCCCCAGATGACTGCATTTTGAATTGAGCTGGCAGCCCAGCCAGTGCGCCAACTTGGGACCGCAGCAGACAGCGGAGGTCTAGACTCAAGGTCACCCACGCTGGGGCGGCTGTTTGCAGATTTGACCAAACACCCACAGTTCCTTACAATTCTCCATATATATCACCTTATCTTTTTACCTGTTTGAAAGGAAGGTTGATTCAGATTGTAGTCTTTAATTTCCACGTGCTCATCTGCAGTTCAATTACAATTAGGCTCCTCCTTTGCAAAAAAGACTTACCTTATGTGATAGAGGCTACCATAACACAAGCTAACAAATGGCTGACGATATCTATCTTCTTAAATGCCCAATCTCAATTTAAAATTAATGAAAAAATGGCAATACAAATATATCAAATATTTTCAGAAGCGTCACTTGTGAGAAATGATTGGCATACAGCTCAAGCTTGAAGAAGAAAATGCAAGAATTGACGTCATGAATAAAGATCTTTTTCATTCATTTGAGTTGGCGTTTTTGTGATTTTTACTGCTTTTCACGGAAACATTTAGGTCACTCAGTTTCATTTTGAATCATTTTGCTGAAAAAAATCGGGGAAAACGTTTTTTGAAAAGAGGTTAGTGTGAATAAGAGCATTTCAAATAAAGTAGTTTTGAAAACGTCATGAGACTTGATTTCACATTTTATGTCATTCAAACGACATAGCTTGTCTGTTACATATCTGGCTAGCCTGCTACAAAATAGAAAATTGCAATGGCGCTGCTTGTCCGGCGATTACCTAGCATTGAAATTTGTTCCTTGAGTTGTTCCTTCTAATTGAGTTTCAGTTACAAATAATAAACGAAAAATAAGCAGCTAGCCGAACTTGTGGGACGATCAGAGTAGTAAGTTCCTATTATAGTGTGGGGGCGACGAGCGTAGGTTTAGCGAGATCAAGATAATTCAAGTGACTCCTGAAAATGTGCCCAAAACTGGCTTGTGTAATGTATGGGCTATCTTTTCAATCCATAACAATGCACTTTTATGTTAAGCTGATTCATAACTTCAATTCCCTATTGTTGCAACCTTTCTACTGACTGATCGAGTCCCATAGCTCGGTCGTTAGAGCATTGGACATGGTGAGGGCATGTGCTGCCAGTCGCGGTTATAAAAGTCTGGGGTTCAAAGCCTGTCAGGTGTTTGATGTTAATGAGCCTCCTGACGGCCTGATGGGTATTGCCTGTGGTTGGTGGCAGGCCAGCAGGAATCAGTGGGGGAGACCAACCGTATGCTGCTATATATGCCCTCAGGGGCCAGGCCCGCAGGGCCAAAGCAACAAGCTCTCCTTAGTAAGGGCTCTGCCTCTGTCCCTGTGAATCCTTTCATTTGAAAGGTTCAGACTAAATTTATCATAAGCATTGCTGTTATCAGTCCACCTACTGTTGATCTGTGGAAGTGGCCCTTCCACATGCCACAAGTCAAATCTCAACTTGAACTGATAGGTACCAAGCTGATGATTCTGTGGCCTGCAGGCCATCCTAACTTGAACTGGTCTCCAGCAGTCTATCTCATCTGTGTGCAATTGCTTCACCCATACTTGGGGTGTATAAGTGTTTCTATAAATACAACAAAATACAATGCAAAGTAAGACCCAAGCTGACTTATGCAGGCCACCTGTTTAACCCAGACCAGACAGCATGCCAAGTTGGAGTTTAATCAGCATAGCCATTTGTGAGATAAAGAAGACTTAAACCTTGGACTAAACCAGCACCCTGCAGCTTGTGCCCTGTAGTCTACATACCTATCTGACTGCAAGTGATTTCAGGGATTGACCTTTTAACAGGCTTGTAACAGGCTGCCAAATTTGAGTGCAGTAGGTCAATAGGTCTACATTCTTGGGATGTAGAGGTAGCAAAAGGCTTCTACCTGCAATATTTGGCTTGTTTTACAAAGTTGAAGAAGTTATATGTTATGGAATATCGATGTATTTGTGTATGTATGTTCTTGTTAGCAAATTTAGTCCTACCAACTGCAAACTTTTATTATTTGGCCATAGGCTCAAGTCATAATAGCCATACCTGTTCTGGTGGAGAGCGTGCAGAATCAGGATAGGCATATGTAAGTGGCCCCTGCACTTGTGCTTGCATATGAAGCATGTGCATGGTGCAACCTAGCCATTGCACATGGAAATGCATCATCAGCTGATGGATGGCCTCCTCCACACCAAGTTTAAATGAAATCCATTCAGTCATTGCTGATTTTTTTTTGTAAGAATAATTTTGACACCAGCTGTGACCTGGCACGTAGCTAAGTGTCCTGTCGATCACCTGTATACACCAAAAGTACTTGCTTATAAGAATGGGGCTATCTGATGCAGAAAATCGTTTCATCCATCAATGATCGGTAGAGCGGTCACGGAAATGGAGCTTTTTCCGTGAAAGCAATGAGAAACTCGCTCGTTCGCTCGTTAAAAATTTGGGCATGAAATAATGAGCTTATTTTGTTGATGTGCGTATTCATAAACAAAATAGGTCGTACACATATATGATTTTTGTGGTACCTAGTCTTGATGTGACTGACTGCTGTTTTAGCCAATGTTTCCATTTGTTTTCCCCATTTACCTGTTGCTAAAGCTGCTGTCTAACTGCCTTGAGCTCACCATCTAACTACCACTGCAGGTGGCGGCCATCTGAGCGGTGATGGGCACCATGCAGCGTCCGGCGGCTCTGGCTGGCCGGAAGCGGTTCCAGGTGACGTTTGTGGTCCGTGACGAGGTGGAGCGGTGCCACCGAGCCGGCGTCAACTCGCTCCAGTATGACGCCCACCTGCAGCGGCTCTTCACCGCCGGACGAGATGGTGTCATCAGGTGAGATGATGCCGTGGCAAGGGTCAGAGGCACGAGTGGTGCGTACTTCAAGCAGTGTCCTCAAAAACTTTCATATTTCAACGTGCGCAATTACACTCACATAGCGATGAGGAATGAGGATTATAACACACTGAGAGAGGTCAATCCCACCAATGTATGCTACCTATTGTATCATGGTACAGGTTATGGCCATGAGCTGGCTGGCATACAGTCATGTAATTGTCTGTCTTCCCATGTTCATTTGCATGTGTCTGACTGATTTGACACCATGTCATTGCAGGATGTGGAACTGTAAGAACACAAAGGAGCCGTACATCCAGTCTATGGAGCACCACACCGACTGGGTCAATGACATTGTCCTCTGCTGCGGCGGCAGGAACCGTGAGTCACGAAACGTCTAATACAGGGTGTAACGAAATTATCCGGACATCTTTATTCGCGCTGTAATTAAGAAGCAAGACAATCTGATATTTTCTCTTTTGAATTATTATATAGCCACCTTTCATAAGAGCGCAGGTACAAATTTCTGAAGCATTCCAGCCACTGGATTTTCCAGCACAGTGGGTTTCATATAGAGTAGCGCCATACTAACCTGTACCCACAGTTGGGCGGCGCTGGTGGCGGGTGTCCCCTCATTCATCTCCTGATGGACAATATAGTCCATAAGATATCGATGGAATTGGGATGGGAACTATTTCCAGGCCATAGCCCGTTAGCCCAGAAGAACAATAGGTCCTCTCGGCATCACTTCTCATTCTGCTAGGGACTTGAAGTTGGTGCGCCGCCCCGCATGAAGACTGCGCGGCTTGAATCAGGCATCAGCACGCGTTCAGAAACCGAGCCCTCCTGTGCCGTCTGGCTGAGTGGCTCCAACCAATCGCTAGCCAGGATGTTGCGCCGGTAATACTCATTACTGATAGTGGTTTTCTGTGGCGTCATGAACAACTTGAATATTGCACAGCAGCTGAACATGCTCCAGGTCTGGATTTTGGCCGGACGTTTGACGCCGGCGACGGCCGGCATGTTCGAGCTGCTGGCAGCCCACACATGGCCGATTTGACGGTTCAACGGACATCGCAGCTCGAACAGTTTCCCATCCAACCAGGCCACCTCATTCATGTGTTCCTTCGACCAGTGGACACGCCATGGCCTGAGGCCAAAGGTGGTGGACTGGTTGTTTTCCCGTCAACTTCATTGTCTTTTTCAGTTTGAAGGGCAGTAAAACCAAGCTAGAGGGCGGGTGACGGTGAATCATGATATGGGACCTCTTATTATCTGCCTTGGTAAGAATTCGAGTCAGTTTGCGAATTAATTGGTGCCGTTTCCTTGCCGCTATCCTGACAACTCTCCTCACCACTTGGCAAAGGGCGCCCTTTGCGATCGAGGCCGGGCTGAGTCTGCCACCAAGTCCAAGCTTATTACGCCTCAGGCAGATGTGCTACTGGCTGCTGCTGATGTCAAGCTGCTGACAGACCAGCTTCTGGCTCATGCCACCATGCCACCAACACGTAGCCTTACTACGAAACGAGAGACTGTACTCCCTTCTCTCCACCGCCTTAAACGAAAACTATCAAATGAACCCGTCGGCGACTCGACTCTTACTCAGAGCAAGAGTCATTTCGCAAGGTCAGGTCACTGCTGAGTTGAGAGCAGATACCAGAGGTATGCATTCATCCAATTTTCCAGCTTCTAACGTTACAAAAGAAACTGTGCGAGCAGATATGGCGAAAAAATAGATGTCCGGATAATTTCGTTACACCCTGTAGGCACGCTGCGGAGGTGCTGTGAGTGTTTGAAGGAAGCATGTGAAATACGACACCGTGGATGTTGTTTGCCGTGTTATAATTGTGCTGAAGCGGTCATTCGATAGCTAGGAAAACTGCAGTTCGAGCCAGGGCGAGGAACCAATCGCCAAGGACCCTTGTCACTCATTTAAACATGCTAAAAATTAGCTCAGTCATGGTACGCCGGTGTGGTATCTGATGTAAATTTGGCCGAGTCGCTGGCGTCGGGATTCGGGAATGCCTGGGATCACCGTTTGCCGGTGCTGCTCCTCCCATTCCCGACCAGCGTTACATTATCTGAACGTGTCATCTCGAACCGATTCTTGTATTGAATTCGTAAGTGCGTCGACAATAACCCTTTTCCGACGTCCGGCAGTAATTTCGGCCAGCTCGGACACAACCGTAAAGGTTTGGAGCGCCCACAAGGGTCTCTGCATGTCCACACTACGCACACACAAGGACTACGTGAAGGCACTCGCTTACGCCAAGGAGAAGGAGCACGTGGCGTCGGCGGGACTGGACAAGTCCATCTTCCTCTGGGACGTCAACACACTGACCGCCCTCACCACCAGCAACAACATAGTCACCAGTGAGTACCTTGACGTTTTTCTTTGCCGTACCAACTAGAGGCAACAGCCCGGTCCTTAGTCATGAGCAATGCGCATATTGTCTGTGATAGTGCTTGTACGTTCAATAAATACAAACTAAGTGCGGTAATTTGTGTTATCCATCGGCGTTCGTCGAAGCATGACCTCCTAGTGGGTTGATGCCGTTTTTAGCGCGTTGTGAGTGAATGTGTGACGTTTGATCCCCGTCCCCGGCAGCCTCATCACTGAACGGCAGCAAGTTCAGCATCTACAGCCTGGGCATGAACGAGCTCGGCACAGTGGTGATTGCCGGCAGCACGGAGAAACTGCTGCGCGTCTGGGACCCGCGCACCTGCGACCGGCTCATGAAGCTCAGAGGTACGGTTACGGTTGGGCATAGGTTCCGTTACGGTAGCTCAGAGGTACTGGTTGAGGACAGAGTCAACGCGGCTGGCGGCGCTTTCTGGCCTGAAAACAATGAAATGCAGTCTTGAAATGCAGTCTGTGTCCGTTCAGTGTTTTCGGATTTGCATTCGTTGGTTTGTTTCATTATTTTGAAACTTGCTTTTGAAAACTCTGAAGTAAGGTTAATCCTGATTTGTTGGTCCCGTCCGGCCAGTGCTCGGTTGACCCAGCTCCGTCTGACCGGTACCCGTCCGACCTCTTTTGACGGTTACCCAACCCCATATAATGGCCAATACTCGATCCGACCCCTTCTGACTGTCTGTGCGCCCCGCCTCCCTCAGGTCACGCGGATAACGTGCGCGCCGTGCTGGTCAGTCGGGACGGCACCCAGTGTCTGTCGGGCTCCTCAGACGGCACCGTCAAACTGTGGTCGCTCGGTCAGCAGCGCTGCATCACCACACTGCAGCTGCACGACTCCGTCTGGGCGCTGCAGGTTAGCAATCGGAGACCGGCGGTCTGGAGGCTAGGTTGGTGACCGACGCTATGCAGGCTTGTTGAAGACCGGATTAATATTACAGGCCCCCTGAGCGCTACTGGTGCTTTGGAGACTGGCGCGCTGCAGGGTCGTCTGGGCTCACTGCCGACTATAGCTGCGGTCGGGAAAAAAAACACGAGGGGCGTATTCATGGTTGTTTTTAGGGGCGTTGACTCTTGGGTCAACTTTGTGACGTTGTGGCGGTTTTGCGAATTCCTGTGACTTTGTGACTTATAATAGTTCAGGCCAGTTGGGCACTGGCATTTTGTTAGTGGTGCCTGTTCTCAGTGTCGACTTAAACATGTCCTGCGTGTTTCCACCAGGTGACCAGTGCCCGTTTCACACCCGTCCTGCGTGTTTCCGCCAGGTGAGCCCCGACTTCAGCCGGGTGTACTCGGGCGGCCGGGACCGGCGGCTGCTGGTGACCAACCTGCGTCAGCCCGACTCCAGTCTGCTGCTGGCCGAGGAGACGGCGCCCATCCTGCGCATGGCGTTGGTCGGGGACGAGTCCATCTGGGTCTCCACAGCCGAGAGCTCCGTCAAAAACTGGGTACGTCAGAGCTCCGTCAAAACTGGGCACGTGAAAGCTCTGTCAAAAACTGGATACGTACTGAGAGTCGACAGAGACTCAGTATGCGGTTCTTTCAGCATTGGATCTCTTAGCTAGTGCTGGCAGGGACTGTGACTTCGACAGGGTGTGCACACTGCACAATATTTCCACTGCACCTCATTCAGTCATCTATTCTCTTGCACTCTCACTGACGGGACTTCGCCATGTGTGACATAGTTAATTTGGTCATGCCTTATTCAACTGAGAACTTGAACTAATCTGCGTTGTATCCCACGTTTGCGGTCACATTTCAGTCTCTGAAGAACGTGGACCGTCTGCTGGATGACGCGCAGGCTGACTTCCTGACACCCGTGGCCAGCCAGCCGACTCGAGTTATCGAGGGCGCCCCCAGCATCAAACAGTACAAGGTGCTCAATGACAAGCGGCACGTGCTGACTCGAGACAGTGACGGGCAGGTGGCCCTCTACGATGTACTCTATGTGAGTAGAGCACGCGACCGGCGCTAAATATGGTCTGCTTTTGTTGGAAGTGTTGCTCATTTACTTGGTTGAATGTTGAGGGCGTCCTGTTGGGCTGTCCGACGTCGATTTAATGTCAGTCTGGTGGACCTGCCTCACGAAACGTTGCATCCTGACTGCGGGAGTTTTGCTGGGACTGAAGTCGAAGTCTGTTGGGGTTGTTGCCGGCAACTGATCCACGATTCTGGCCCGTCACGTTTTGCTGATCTACCAGGCTAATAAGGTGGAGGACCTGGGTCAGATAGACCTGGAAGCGGAGGCCGAGCGCCGCTTTAAGATGGTCTACGTGCCCAACTGGTTCAGCATCGACCTGAAGACCGGGGTGAGTAGTGAGCTACTTGGTTCGCTGAGCACACGATAGACAGTGCTGAATGGACTGGAAAATGGTCTGTGGTTGATCGTGTTGTATGTAGCCTTTGGACACCGGTTGGCTCCCCATGGACCCACCCGGAATAATGAATTGTTGCTGGTCCTGTGGACTCGCCTAAACCAGAGTCTGATTACGTTAGCACCATATTATGGAAACGTCCGAAACAGTGGACCGGTGTTGACAACACTTGCGTGACCTGTCTCCCTCCCGCTGCTGATTGCAGTACCTCTCAGTGCATCTGAGTCAGGACGAAGTGGACTGTTTCTCGGCCTGGGTCAGCGCCAAGGAGGCCGGACTGCAGACCTCCGATGGCGTCGACCAAAAAGGTGACCGACTGTAACTGACAGCTATTCGTAGAATATTGCTTTAACACTTTCCATTAGATATTAGGTGTCAACAGATGACCATCTGTCTCGTAACCATCTCGTAGTAACGTAAGCATCCTGGACAAAATTTACTTAAGCTTCTACCGCGTGCTTTCTGTGTCGCGCGAGTCATAATGACTGTGATAGTAATGCTCATAGATATCACGATAGTATTATGATAGTCGGTGTATAGTCATGCTGACGACACATCGGGCTGTGCTCGGATCGTCAGTATGATGAGCTGATGCGTTTCACCCTTCACGCGTCTCTGCCGCTGAGAATGACTCTTTGGACCTGCATATCAGACGATGCATGTATGCGGGCTATGCAGGGACGCCAGGGAGAGTGGCCGATACGCTTTGTCCCACCGTGTGACAGCGTCTGACGGCAGCCATTCCCCTCCTCTCTCCGGCAGTGAACTACGGCCGGCTGCTGCTACAGGCGCTGCTCGAACACTGGCCGCGCACCTTTCAGCTGGAGCCCGGAGCCGAGAACGGATCAGACGCACAGGCGCTGGCCAAGCCCGTCGGAAACGAGTACTTCTCCGTGCCGCCGCACACGCCCGTCATTTTCAGGTAACGTGTGCTTTACTGTGTGCCCATTCGCAGCCAGCGATTTGTCCAGAATCAGGCGAGAGCTATTGAACTTAGAGCACGTTATAAGGCCATGGCGTTGCGCACCACGCTTTGCCCGGTTCCACAGTGCTTTGTTGCCACACCGTCATAAGCAATAATGTAGTAAGACGTGCGGCAGGTTCTACCAGGTTCTACCGGTGTGTGGTCAACCGCTGGTACCAGTTGCCGTTCTGACCTCGCTGTTGATGTGTTTACAGCGAGGCGGGCGGCAGGTTCTTCTACCGGCTCCTATGTCGGGATGCCGTCGGGGAGTCCGAAGGCACGCTAAACGAAATGGTTCCCGACTGGGTGGTCGACTGCGTCGTCGAGAGAAACACACCGAAGTTCATCAAGGTGCCCTTCTACCTGCAGCCGCACGCGTCGGCGTCAAACAGCATCAAACACCAGAAAAAGTGAGCAACTCTCGGTTCTCGGGCTGACACTTGCCAACTAGGATCAAGGACCGCTTCCAAGTAGTCGATTCTTAGGTGGAAATCGATAGGCATGTGCGCGATATCTGGACATTCAAACGCCTTTATGCCGACAATGTAAAATCGTTGATGACTGTGTACGTTTTTCCAGGATGCGTTCGTGTCTTTATCCCGTAGATCGTTCAACCTATTCCACCATCCAGCGATATGTCTGTATTTGTCCATTTGACCGAGACCGCGTTTTCGTTCGTCCTCAGGGACCGGCTGATTGCCAACGACTTCATCCAGGTGCGGAAGGTAGTGGAGCACGTCTACGAGAAGGTGCTGGGCACAAACTCGGAGGCGATGGGCGGCGGGCCGGCCCAGCCGCCGCCGCCGGCCGCCGGCGCAGAGGCGGACGACAGGACAGAGGGGTCAGCCACACTGGCGGAGGATAAGGTGGAGCTGCTCTGTAATGAACAGGTGGGTCGATTGGTGGCTGAAGAGGTCTGCGCTGTTGAAAGAATCCGGCTTGTGAGCTGATGGCAGTTTGACAATATGGCAGCGAGCGAGTAGGGTGTATTTAGGAGAACTGGCTCCTCATTCTATGACCTTGGCCAACGTTGAGTTGCGGAAGCATCTTGCACACCCAGCGGATCTGTTCGGAGGCCGCTCGTCATCTGACCGTGACTTGTATTCACAGGTGCTGGACCTCAACATGGACCTGCGCACAGTGCGTCACTTTATCTGGAAAAACTCTGCCGACCTTCAGCTGCACTACCGACAGATAAAGTAGTCCGACGCACGCTCAGCGGGCTGTTCCGTGGTGCGACTGTTTCGTCAGGAAGCTGAGAGCGGCCGACCGACGTCATTCGCACAGGGACTTCCAGCAATGATGGGGTGTGAACCGGGGTCGCTCGGCGATTGCAGACCCTCGGAATCGTCGCCGGCCGTGTGGCGCTGTGCAATGCCCAGAACTGGAGCGTTCCTGAGGTGTGGCTGTCGATCCGGAGGTCGTACAGGACGGTCCGGGCCGCCACAGTGGACGGTCTGGCTCGTCACGACAGCGCAGTCATCCAACTCGCCAACGACTGCCAGGGTTGGGGATAGGCGGGTACCAATCAGAGCGGCGTGGCCGGATAGTCCGCTGTCCATGTCGGGAAAGGTACGATGCTCGACTTACGACTGATGACCGCATCTTATGTGACACATTTGGTGGTCGCTGTTCTCGGACGGCCGGGAGAGCTGCCGACCACCGCACCATCGGTCGAACCGAGAAGGCCGGAGCGACTCGCCCTGCGACCGCCATGGGACTGCTGCCGGCCTATCACCGTTCCACGAACGGTCGCGGCCGTCCGCGGCCATTCCAGAGAACGGCCGATCAATAAGAACACATCCAGATTGAAATAATGGGCGGAACGCCGCTCTCGTTAGCTGAATGTTTCAGCCATGAGCCAGCCAATCGGTCGCAGCAAGATCTCTCCTATTAATGCTGCTGACTGATCTGACCTGTGGATGTTGTGTATTATATTGCGTGCGTGTCTCTTGGGAGAGCCACGCTGGATCGTGGCCGTTTCGCTCGTACTGTGCAATGATTGTGCTATTTCTGTTGTTGATTGTATGTGAATGACTTTGCGGGATAGAGGGCGATATTGATTGTCATCAGCTGTGATGGCGGGAACAGAAAGCATCATACGATGGTAGGCGATGAGCTGCTGATCGCGCCAAAAGAGAATATTTTATACTAAACTGTGTTTATCTCCTTATTCAGGTCCCCTCTTAGTCCTCGTCTTACCTTGCCGTCACGGGTTCTTCCGTCCCTTTGGCCATGAACACTTGCACAGCTGAACGGCTAGTGCTTTGGAAATTCCACCAAGTCCTGCACACCAAACTGCGTCTGAACACCCTGGGAATGTCGACCAGTGTAATGAGCGTCGGATGCAACACAGTAATGTGAGACCGGTGACAACGCGGGACGGCCCGCCGGCGCCCCCGCATCCCGCCACCGCTGGCGCGCGCTTTCTGACACACCACCGCCCGGCCCTCTCACGCGCACACGCAAAGTGTCTGTCCCGGCGCGGCGAACACCGACCGAACGCAAAGGAACGCGTTCACATTACAGCGAGGTGGCGGCGCCGGCCCCTGGCGGCGGCACTCGGCGGCGCGACTACTCCGGGTCGTTCTTGTCCTTTTTCTTGCTCTTCTTGCTGTTGCGCGTGTGACGGTGAGAGGGGCTGCGGGAGCGGCTCCGGTGCCGACGGGACCGCTCGCGACTGCGACTCCGGGAGCGCCGGCGGTGGTGGCGACTGCTGTCGACAGAGGAGGAGAGGTCGTGTCACTGAGGTCACCGTATCGGGGACACGGGTTAGTCACAACGGGTCACTGGTGTCATCTTATCAGGGGACATGTGGGAGTAAAGGGACACGTCCCTCCTGGCTGATGGCTGTTCGTCAGCTATCGGGCTATCCGATATTTATGTTCGTTACCGCAAGATTGCTGACCAGGCTTGCAATCTGTTAGGGAGCTGTTTCAACGTGAACGAGCTATCACGATTCCGTGTTCGTGCCTACTTAACGACCACTAATTACTCCACCCAGGCAGTTTTCAATTAAAAAGCCTTCAACCTTCCTGAGGCCAGACCCAAGATGCGTGTTCGCTTGAGGCATTAGTCATGGGCATTCACTGCAGAACTTCTGCGTCGGGAAAGTACCGTCACAGCCGGCGCGAGACCATTAATTGACCAGCGACTATACGCGATCGCGATATAAACATGTGTATTTTAACAACGCGGATAAATGCCATCGTAACAACAAGAGTACGTCGATATATGAGTAACGTAGCAAAACGGATATATTATTAATATAATATCCTATTACACATGCAAAACCGGCAACAATTGTTCGGCATAAAGATCATATAAACTTTCACGAAAGACAACAATCATCTAGCGCAGTCGCTGCCATTGACTGCCTCTGCCGGCTGTGAAGCATCCGTCGGCGTCCGCCGCGGCCGGCCGGCCGGCGGACCTACCTGTCCCGCTCTCGGTCCCGGTCGCGCTCTCTCTCCCTCTCGCGCTCTCGCTCGCGCTCCCGGTCGCGCTCGCGGTCCCGCTCTCTGTCTCGGTCCCTGTCGCGCGGCGGTCCCTGGTCGGGACTCCAGGCCTCGCTGCGGCTCCCGCTCGGTGTATACTGCTCCCTCTCGCGGTCCAGGCTCTCCTGGGACGGCGTCATGGTGCCCGGCGGCAGCAGCGGCTCAGGTACTGGCAGCGGCGCGGGCACCGGCGGCGGCGGCAGGCCCGGCGCGCCCGCCGGCCATGCCTGTGGCGGAGAGACAGTACGGGTCAGATACCAGCTAGCGTCAGGCACCGCGCCGGTCAGGGTCAGACACCAACAGAACGGGTCATGGTGCAAAGAAGCCAAACGAGAGGGGGAGGCGCTGTGTATATGTCAGACGTAGCAGCCCACAGACCAGACCAGACCAGAGGGTTCGGTAGCACATGGGTTGTGATTGCAGAGCAAGTGCGAGGATATAGCACGCCGTCGTGAATTACAGCAGCTGTAGCACGAACATCCACAGAAACATCTTCCGCTAAAAATTGCTACAAATCTCTACATAATAGCTACATTAATTACATCCATCTGATCGAACTTCATGAAAGGTGTGCCATCAAACGCGCCCTCTCCCAGCCGTCTCCACCTTCCGGCACATCATCCCCCGTCCGTCCCGCCGTTCCAGCGCTGCCGACCGAACTCACCTGAGGGTGTGGTGGCGGCGCGCCGCCCCACGCCGGAGCGCTGCGTCCGTAGCCGGGCGGATCGTAGAAGGGCGGCGGCGGCGCAGGAGGCTGGCTGAACCCGAAGCCGGGAGGCGGCGCCGCGTACCCGGGTACCGGCGGCGCCATGGGCGGTGGTAGCGAGTAGTTGGCCGCCGGCTGCGGACACGAGACACAACAGGTTAGTGGGGGAGGGCGATCAGTGTATCCGGGGCCGTACGATTAACGTCAAATAGACGACCAGTGAATGAAAGAATAACGGCAATACCTCGGTCCTAGGGATACACAGTACACACATCGATATTTGTACTTCGTCATTAAAATGATTCGAAGGTGCGCTAGAATTAAACCGCCGTACTCTTGAATCTTCAGCTATCGCAACTCTACTTATAACTGCGTGCATGACCGACACAGCCAAGGCACACCTACAACCAGCTAACAATCATACTCTGATTTCTGTCTAGTGTGGCAAGACTTTCCGTCGAGCATGTCTTGCTTACCCTAGCACCTTCCCATTCAGCCATGCACAAAACCAAGACCCCCCCCCCCCCCCCCCCGACCACTGAGGCCGCCCCACTGACCGCCGGCGCGGCCGGGTCGCCACCGGCCGCCCCCTCGAAGCCCCGTCGGCTCGGTGCCGAGGCGCCGATCACATCGATGGTCCCCGAGTTGTTGAACCGACGCGCTGACTGCGGAGCCGCCTTGGAGGTGTGCCGCTCCACGTTGACAGACGTCTGGAACGGCTGCGGGTGGACGAACGGTGGACGGTTAGACAGGGCAAATGGGTGGGGCGCAAAGATTAAATATGATGGCTTCGGCCGCCTAGTCAAATGATTATTGGCAGCTGATTGAAAATGATGTCTTTTTTAAACGGCGAAACTAGCGACCAGCGACTCGAACGATTTAGCTAAGCTGTTTGTCTATCAAATTCCACATAGTGCACAAGACTAATAACACATCAAAACAACAATCATCTTATATACAAATCGTCCTTGGCGATCAGATACAGGTATTTATGAGGTACCAGTCCGAGAACCAGCCCGAGAGTCGAAACATTTCGGCACCCAGATAAAGTACAAGTCTTCTCAGTGACTACGATGACAGATAAGTGGGAGCGACGCAGAGTCTTTCGGGGATGGGAACTCACTTTGACCGGTAGGTTGGCGATACCGACTCCCGACTCGTTGAGTCGCATCCGTTTCTGGCGCTCACAATAGGCTCGCCAAGTGTCCTCCGTAAACCCGTAGTTGAAATAATCTGAGACAAGACGGGGGCGGCGGATACGAGTCAAGTACAAATGTGAAAAACGTCAATATCGCGATCAAATTCGATAAAATAACAGTAACAACACTCATACACACACACTCACACGCTCAGGCACTTCAGTCACGCCTACCTGTGATGTCGGCTCCTGGCTTTCGCCATGGCTTGTCCTCCAGTGAGTCTAAGTTGAACTCCTGGGCCGGCACGCCGTTTATCGTTCCCACAGACTCAAACTCGTTGATGGCAAAGTTGCCCTGGTTCTGCGGATACAGTGGAAGGGCCAATCAGAAGCCCTGGTTGGACACGTAAACATATCAGCACAAGGATGTCATCCAGACAACGAGGAGCTGCCGCCCAAACCTTCATCCTACATTACACACGCCAGCTCAGCTGCGGATCAATGGCGTCCGCCGTCCATCTGTTATTTGTATCTGCTGAGTAAAGGTACGTGACTAGGACCCTGGCCAGCAGGCAGGCACCGCAGGGCGTCCCGACCGCCCAGGCGGGTCCGCTCACCTTGGCCTTATCGGCGCTGGCGGGCGTGCCGAACTGGGCCGATCCCTTGCCGATCTTGAAGCCGGAGTAGGTCGACGGCGCCGCGATGTCGCGGATCACCACGTTGACGTCATCGTCACTGTCGTCATCAATGTCCTCTGTCGAGCGGGACGGAACAGTCACAGCCACAGACGCAAGAGCACTGCAGCGGCGGCAGAGATGGACCAGAGCGACCTGCCTGTAGCTTATACAGGACATAATATGAAGTATGGATCTTATTTTATAATGCAAGATGTAACAAATGATAGAGCATGAAAGGTTCATGCCGAACATCACAAACATCATCATGAAAGCTGCCCCTAACAAATAGCTGGACCGTCCCTGTCTATATTAGATGCTGTCCCTTGCACCACGTCCCAACGGCCCCCGCCCTTGCGCCCTGCAGCGGCGCGTCTCCGTACCTAGCATGGCGTCGGCCGCGTCGCCGTCCTTGCCGCCGGCGTTGTCCCCGGCGGCCGGCCGCTCTCCGTCGGCTCCGGCCGGCCCGTCGCCGTCCTCGTGGATCTCGAGCTTGCCCTCCTCGCCGTCTGTGTTGATCGAGTCGTCCAGGCCGCTCTGGCCGGCTTCCTTACTCTGGAACAGGGGAGGCACAGTAAACGGTGTCAAACAGCCCACAGCACAGCCAGCCGGGAATTACATACGGCTCACTCGGCACTCGCACGGCAAACAATGTGCAGCGAAATAATACAATCCAGAAATAACCATCAACCAAATCCCATCTATTCCCACAGCACATAATGTCGATCGTCGACCCTGCATCGCCACACAACCATTCAAACTTTGAAAGACATACCTGGCTGATAGATTCAAAGTCACTGAACTTGTCATCAGTGTCATCTGCCGGTGCATCAGCCATGGTGGCATCTTCAGGCGGAGGTGGGTTGGTGCTGCTGTACAGCCACTGGTCCTCGCTGTCCTCGGCCGACATGGTGGCTGCCATGACAGCAGGCTCCGCTCGAAGCCTGGTTGTAAAAATGTATCAGAAAACTACTTCAACACTACCAAAGACAAAACAATAAAATGCATGACTGACTTTCAGTGATAACATATAGCACTGTTCTTAACCCTAAAATATATCATCCAAAAAGTGCTAAGTATTATTAGCTTTCTTATAATATTTGACAATTTGAATTACAACTCAAGTGATTAGTGAAAGATTCTGCAAACCAGGCCAGCTTGTATCTATAAATAGGTTGGAAGGTTTTGGGTATGTAGGTTCTAGGTTGTACTTGTAGGCTATTTAGTAGGTAAGGTTAGGTCAGGTGAGATAATACTAAATGTTTTTTACCGGCTTCACCAAACCGATCTACAAGTATATCATTGGTTTCTCAGCCTATATTGATATAAAAAAATTCATGGCAATGGATCCTAATACATATTGAACACAGTTGCACAGATGACATGAATAACATGATTTGTGTTATCTATGCCAGTTGCAATTAACTCCAACAAGCTTCTGTTCTGCATGATTTCATTCTCCGAGACCAGGCTGAAAATGAGATCTAACATTTGTGAAGGAAGAAAGTGTCTTAAAAAGGATTAGGAGAATCAGGCAATGTGCAATGTATTTTTAAAAGAATTTCAGCACATTTAGAATAAAAAGTAACAAAAGTGCTCTTAGGGTTAGGTGAAGCAAAAATTCAACATGAAAATCCTTGGAAATAAGGACTCGTACTTGTACTGGACTTGGACTGGGACAGGGGAGAGCCATGGAATACAATGGACATTGCAATGATCGGTGGTCAGTACAAGCTCTTTTTTAAACATGATATGGACACTGCAAGTTAATTTACCCAAAATCTAACGCTGGTTTATACTATTTTTCTCGATTAAATTATTTTTTAATGTTGAACCCGGCAACGCCAACGTGAAATGAAAACACTGCGTTAGAAACGCCGCGTCTTTCAAGGATACGACAATGCATTCAATATTTTCCCTAAACTACAGCCATTGTTGATAGTTACGCATATACACATATGAAACGAATTATTTATCAAACATTATACAATGGCCGAAACACGCTAATGAGAATCCCTTGGATTAGAATCCCATCATGCATTATCTACCAATGGGACTGCAGCCGCCCGCCGGCCCGTTCGACACTCGGTCCACACATGTCCATGCTCTTTCCACCCCCCGTTGGTCAGCTTGAGCTTGGCATGTGATCGCTCGAGGCAGTGGGTCATCGGAGGAGAGACAGAGAGGCGTTGTCAGCTAGTGAGGCGGCGCGGACACGGAACGCCCGGAACGATACGCACAGGTCACGTGCAGAGGTTTTCTGTTTTACCCAAGCTTGTTTGTTTTCTTGGTTGTTTAACGACGCATCAGTCAGACTTGTTTACCCAAGCTCTGAACTTTTAGCAACAGCTCCCTAGAACGTGTTTTCCCCCGCGCTCGATGTCTCTCGGACGACGAAGATTCTACGTCGTCAGGCCAATGTGCGGCCAATCACGTTCAAGGTCAGCGGGGGCTCGTCTGCGGTTATGGAACGTGATTGGCCGGGCGGCGTAGAATCTTCGTCGTCCGAGGCCCGAGGGACATCGAACGCGGGGTTCGTGTGTGTCAGGGCGCTGAAGATGTGTGCAACTGACACCAGCAGGCAGCAAGCTAGTTATGATACGAATTTGGCTGGTTGGCAAAACGTGCCAGCTAGCACAAACCGACTCCTGCCTAATGTAGTTACCTACGTGTATTGGCAGCAATAAAAAACATTGGCTATTTTCTTCCGCACCATCCGACACCAAAAACAAGAAAACTTGTCTCGTCCGTGCTACTTCAAAGATAAAGGCGGCGTTCGATGTCTCCCGGACGGCAAAGATTCTTTGCCGTCCGGCCAATAACGTCCAAGGTCAGCGGGGGCTCGGCTGCGGTTATGAAACGTGATTGGCCGGACGGCGTAGAATCTTCGCCGTCCGAGAGACATCGAACGCGGGGAAAGTACTCGCTGATGCATGGTCGTCACAAAACACAGCTTTCAGTTATTACAAGTATTATTTATTTTAATGTGACAGAAGATGAAATGAAATATGACGAGGGCTTTCTGGAAAAAAAAAATCACTAACGAGACTGAAAACTCGTTCGCACATTTTACATCTTCAGTTGCACAAACACAATGGTCATATATGGATTGATGAATGCAATCTACGCAGATGAGTGTCACCATTTTCTGTAGAGCATGGCGCAGCTAAGCTGCAGACGGGGGATCAACAAGCCAGCGGCGGCGTGCGGCGGCAGCTCCGGCCGCACGCAGCCGCATCCCGTCCTCCCCCAGACTAACCAGTCAATGACGAAACCCATCGGCACCCCACCTCCCACCAGGTCCTATGAGGTACACCCAACAGGCGACGGGCACATTCGATGAGCCGCTATGGTACACTCCAAAGTCCACGAGATCAAAGACCCGTGGATCACCCAGCTCTCCGCGTGTGTCGGAAGGTCACGAATCCCTATGATGCCGCAAAAGTTCTGCGTTCCCAGCCCTGACGCCGCGCCAACATGTTCGAGTAGACAGGTCACGTGTCAGAGCGCCATAGTTTGATGGTCTTGTCATTCTCCAGCGCCGCCGACGCGATGATGTTTTCGGTGGGGTGACAGGCGGTGCAGAGAACCACGTCTGAAAGGGAGACGGTGACGGTCAGTGACAGTGAGTCTGAAACCGAACCCACGACCATCAGAGCGGACGAAATTATCAGCACAAAGATCTCCACGCAACGCAGGGGGGGGGGGTAACAATAGGTACCGGCTCGCCCCATAGAGTCAGATCAATTACGAATTACGATGGCTACGAATACTGATTAAACGTGACGCCATTTATAAGCCTATAGCGTTGACTTGCCATTCCGTAAGACGCTCGTGTACCATACGTACCGTTGTGTCCCTGCAGTTTCTGGACGACCTCCTTGGTCTGCAGGTTCCAGAGGTAGACCATGTTGTCCTCAGAGCCCGACACGATCCACTGCCGGGGAAGGAAGGAGAGTGGCGAGCATGAGTCTACGTCCCGCGACCGTCAGCGCTACAACTTGACGGTTTTGTAAAGTTGTCACATTGTCTTGTCCACATTGACAGCGAAATTTAGCATACAATGTAACAGGCTTAATTAATAACGTAAAAGTTTTGTCGTTTACGATTACACACTTGTTCTACCTATAACGCCGCATATCACCTACCTTTCCTCCTGTGACGGAGAAGTTGGCGAAAATGCAGTACTTCTCGTTCTTGTGCCCGGTGTAGGTCTTCAGACACTTGCACTTGGCGTAGTCCCACAGTTTGAGCGTGTTATCCAGCGTGGCGGCCAGGATGTACTTGCCGTTAGGGGAGAACTTGACGAACGATACCGGTGGGTTGTCGTCGTCGATCAGCGTCTTCAGGCACTGGCCAGAGGCCGTGTCCCAGATACGGCTGAGATCAGAGGCCGGGTAATCAACAGTCAGTTCGTGTGTAGACCAGACATGGTCAGACAGTAGGCTCATGCATAAAAACGACCAAAGAAACTACGTTAAATTAAACATGAGCTTGAGTGTTATTTATATTCCTGTGGATTAAAAAGTAAGTCAGAATCAATGTCTCATCTCTACACCTTGAACATCCCATTGAAAGGAAACCTTGCTGGGGGTTGTTAGCGTACCATCCTCGCAATAACCATGCACATTTCTATCGCTCTATAAGTTTAAGGCGCGACGCACGGGATATGTGCCATGACATTTGAATAGAAGACACCGGGACACCCACTCCGGACTGACCAGAGTCCGTCGTAGCTGCTGGAGACGATGAGCGACCCGTCCCGGTTGAAGTGCACGGCCGACACGGGGTCCGAGTGGGCCGGCAGCGTGCGCAGACACTTCCCCGTCTTCACGTCCCAGATCCGCACCGACTCGTCAAACTGGCGGCCAAACCAACTCGTCAAACGGGACGACACAGATAGACGGCACGGGGCGGGCCAGGAAGGCAGTAAGAGACGAGTCGCGGGCCAGACCGACAGATCCCCGAGCGGGGCAGGAAGGCGGTTTAGGTCAGCGACATAACAGACATACAGTGTAAAGTGGAGGCCAGGTAAATGATGTAAAGTTAGTAATCAAGATAGCAGCCAGCCAATGTTTGTGATCTAATGAACGATCTATAAGTCAGCCGTCATAATTGACCGTCTATATTAATGCCGTCAGCCGATCTTACAGCCAGCCGATGCATACAGTCGCGCAGTGTATGCTCACTATATACTTACCGAGCCAGATACGATGAGGTTCGACTGCGGGTTGAAGTTGCAACAGAACACGTAGTTGCTGTGACCCTTGAGAGTCTTCAAACACTTGCCCTGGAAACAATGCGAATTCAAAAACGGATGCTCAAAGGGACACGCGCCACACAATAAAATCATTTGAGTACGATTGTTTCAGAAGAAAGCTATGAAAATGATGTTCAAAGTTCATGGTTTAGCAAGAACAAAACAGCTATTTTGCCAATATCTTTGCCCTCTAAACATTGAATTGTCATGTGCCCACATCCTCCACAATCTAGCCTTGTCCCTCTTTCTTACCCTGTGAATCGTGCGATTCGAAATGACTTGTCCGCGGTTCGACGCTCAGCCATCCTCCTAACAAACCTCTACGGATCTTTATTGGGCCTCCATGGGCCTTTAACACTTCCCTCTCCCTCCTGCATTTATAGAGCTGAGCTCTCAGGTTTTGAGCTGAGCGGGTCACGTCATCCCGTGACCCGTTTAGTCGGGGTCTAGCCAACCTAGAATCCGTTGCTTGTCGTCCCACGCTTTTCCTTAACCCGCGCGGGGCTGGGGTCTCCAGCCGAACGCGCGGGGCTGGGGGGGGGGGTAAATTTTACCCCCCCCCCCCTGTTATCTCCCGAACTAATGGTCCGATTTGGAAAATTCAAACGCCAATCGAAAGCTCTCATCACGAACTACTAAAAACATGTACTTAATTTAAAGTTTGAGGTCAAGGTCAAGGTCAGGTCAAGGGTACAAATTGCAAGTTTCTACAGTATCGGCCTTGCACCATAGTTGCCGAAGAATGGAGTCATGGACTGAGACTGATCGCCCAAAACGTGCTCTTAGGCTACCAAGACAATATTCGTTGCATACAATATCATTCAGAGGTCAAGGTCAAGGTCAGGTCAGGTCAGGTCAGGTCACCAAAAAACAAAATATAGAAAAGGGCATGTGCGACACATGTTTTATGGGTCATTTTACTCATAGAATTCAATAGGCACACTCAATAAGTGATATGGACCACCTCTGGATGAATTTCAGGTCGAGGTCAGGTCAAGGTCAGGTCAAGTGAGGTCAAATTTTGAAGTTGGTTGTTAAGGCCTAAAAAGGTGTCTATCTGATGCAGTTTTTCACGGCGAATCGAATGGTGCTATTTTTGTTTCCGTACGAGGTCCAGAACTTCCCAAAAAGTCATTTTTCAAAAAAATTGTGTGTCGTGACGTCATAAAATTTTGAATAACTCCCACATTTTTGAACCGATTCTTCTAAAATTTGGTATGTAGGTGCACATAGACCACTTCTCTGACATATATTCCGGTTTTTTCGATAGACTCAAAATTTTGGATTTTATAATGATTTTCCCAAAAAAGTCAGTTTTTTGAAAAAATTTAGGCCAAAATCCAACATTTTCAAAAAACCGAGATAGCCATTTGATAGACAAAGTAAAATTACGTATAACCTTTTTTGTTACGTCTTGATTCCTTAAAAAATGAAGATGTTAGCGGCGTTTGAACTTTTGCCGTTTTTGAGGCGAAAATGGCGAACATGACGTCACTAAAACGTCAATTTCTCAAAAAATTTCCGACGGATTTCGCTCAAATTTTCAGGGAACGTGTCAAATTGATGTAAGAAAAGGTACTGAAAGTTTGGCGGCGCTGCGCGCCGCCGTTTTTGAGATATCGCAAAAATTCGCGAGGGGGAGGGTAAAATTTACCCCTCCAGCCCCGCGCGGGTTAACAAAGCTCTCTGGTCATGCAGCTTTTACCGCTTGTCCCTCCCTCCCGATTTACCGAGCTGAGCTCCCAGATTTTGAGCGTCTTGTCGTCGGAGGCAGAGACGAGCAGGCGGCTGTCGACGGCCCAGGCCACGTCCGAGACGCCCAGCTTGTGGCCGGCGATCGTCTTCTCGAACTTGCCGTCGTACGCGCCCCACACCTTAATCAGCTTGTCCGCCGCTGCGCCACCCCAAACGTACACAGGTCAACAGGTTGAACAACAAACATTTCATTGTCATTCAGCAAGGAAAGTAAGAGCAGAGCAGGTAGGCATTCAAATGAATAAAGCATATGGCTCACAAGTGAATACTGGTCAATCAAAACAGCAGTGTGTTGCTCCAATTGCACATGCACAACTCTCGCATCCCATTCAACATACAGGAGCTGGCCAGCCAGTTGCCATCTGGACTGAACTTGACGGACGAGACTGCCTTGGTGTGACCGGCTAGGGTGAACTTCAAGACATAGTTAGGTTTCTGAAAAACAGGCACCATGAGTTGTAGAACATGATAAGGTTACAAAAAGAATTGTCAGCCACTAGCTGAAAAGTAACTAATGGAACTGCACAATTACACTTCTGCAAGCTAACATCATTGTCATTGTACTTGTATCAACTATCAAGACAGGGATATATGATCAAAATGTTTCAAATGCTACACTCCAGATGGGCCTGATCCAATGTTACAATGATACTTGATACAATGTTTTCTAGCTCAGTAATCTGAATTGTCTGCCAGCCATGTCTTACCACAGGTTTGGCGGCTGTGCCAGCTGGTGTTGCCGAGGCATTGCTGCCCTGGGATGACGGACCGGCAGGTGTCTTGTTCTCTCCATCTGGTCGTTTGTCCCCACTAGCTTCTGACATGTCTGCCTCCTGATAAACAGAGACGAGACTAGTGACAACTGACATCAATAACCACTGAACCATTAACTTCCAATGATCATCGATAGCTCTAAGCTCCATAAAAAACAAAAAAAAGTTAGTTGGGAACATGGGCTTAGCAAGATATTTAGAAGAACAGCATAACAGCATAATTGATACTATTGCTATATTTATAAATTGGTGGTAGAGGTATTGTAATCATTTCACATTTGTGATTTTATCAGTGTGCTAGGAAGCTTTGCAGCATTTATTGATGACAATGGTGAGTTGGGGTTTTAGGGCACCCGGAATGTGGTGTCAACACGCCCATCCCACATTTCTTGCCTTCTAACTTTGACTGATGATATTTGCATAGTATGTCTATGTGCACTTTAAAAATTAGAGGCCAAGAAGTGACAACAAGTAACACTGACTACGAACAGCTTTAAAAACCGGTTGGACCAGCACTGGGCCACAAGGAATCCTCACTGAGTCATTTCTGACCTTATCCGGATGTGGGCCCTGAAAAGACCCGGTCTACCCAAGCCCACTAGTAAAACCTAAACCTAAACCTAAACACCAATATCAGTATAAAAAGACAGCAGGATAGGTACTAATAAAAAACTGACAAAAAACAAGAACAGTGCCCCGAGTTCTATGCAAACAAGCACTTAAAAAGGCGGCTCAGCCCGGAAGAGTGCCTGATCTGAAAAGGAATCAAGTGGGCCCGGGGCTACCTTCAATTTGAATTTTTCATCGGCAATCGCGATCGGTACGTGTTTGATCTCTAATAAATAAAAGGTTTCAAAATAAATCCCTAATGAGCACAAACGGCCACAACTTTGCTGCCGGGCATTGCTACTGCCATAGTGCTTACGCGGCAACTCTTCAACTCAGCAAGTTGACAGCGGTCAAAATATCCAATAAATGTTTCAGATACTTTTGCAAAAGAAAATAATTATTATATATTATTAATCACCAGTTATCCCGCCATCATACACAACGATCCCCCCGCAACAACACACGTCTGTCAAACTAGCAGCGAGCAGCGAGCAGCGAGTCCAGCAGCGAGAAACGGGCCATCCCGAGGGGTGTTCACGGGCACCGCACACTGCTGCGTGCGGTGTGTGCGGTGCGTCCAGCAGGCGTGGGGGTAGGGGATGGGTAGGCGGTTCTGACGTCACGGCTGCGTGCGGTGGACGGTCCGCTGTGGCCAGTCCCGAGGGCTGTTCACGGACCCTGTGTGCGGTCGGACCGCACACAGCCTCCAAGCTCCGCCCACTGCGTCCCTACGTCAGCCTTGCGTCACCGCACACAGCGACCGCTGTGGCCGGTCGGGACTGGCCACAGCGGACCGTCCACCGCACGCAGCCGTGACGTCAGAGCCGCCTACCCATCCCCTACCCCCACGCCTGCTGGACGTACCGCACACACCGCACGCAGCAGTGTGCGGTGCCCGTGAACACCCCTCCGACCGGCCACAGCGATCGCTGTGTGCGGTGACGGAAGGCTGACGTAGGCACGCAGTGGGCGGAGCTTCGAGGCTGTGTGCGGTCCGACCGCACACAGGGCCCGTGAACAGCCCTCCGATTTAGCTGAAATTTGGCTCACAGAGCCTTCTCAGCACGCTGATTCCGAAAATCATGGTCTCTAGGGTGGAAATATTGACCGTTCAGCCAAATCGGGATGGCCCGGTCATGGATGGTAAGAACTTTAGAGGGTTCTTTCTCGAGAACGGTCAATATTTCCACCCTAGAGACCATGATTTTCGGAATCAGCGTGCTGAGAAGGCTCTGTTAGCCAATTTTCAGCCAAATCGGGATGGCCCGGTCATGGATGGTAAGAACTTTAGAGGGTTCTATCTCGAGAACGGTCAATATTTCCACCCTAGAGACCATGATTTTCGGAATCAGCGTGCTGAGAAGGCTCTGTGAGCCAATTTTCAGCCAAATCGGGATGGCCCGGTCATTGGTGGTAAGAACTTTAGAGGGTTCTATCTCGAGAACGGTCAATATTTCCAACCTTGAGACCATGATTTTCGGAATCAGCGTGCTGAGAAGGCTCTGTGAGCCAATTTTCAGCCAAATCGGGATGGCCCGGTCATTGGTGGTAAGAACTTTAGAGGGTTCTATCTCGAGAACGGTCAATATTTCCACCCTTGAGACCATGATTTTCGGAATCACCGTGTTGAGAAGGCTCTGTGAGCCAATTTTCAGCCAAATCGGGATGGCCCGGTCATGGGTGGTAAGAACTTTAGAGGGTTCTATCTCGAGAACGGTCAATATTTCCACCCTAGAGACCATGATTTTCGGAATCAGCGTGCTGAGAAGGCTCTGTGAGCCAATTTTCAGCCAAATCGGGATGGCCCGGTCATGGGTGGTAAGAAATTTAGAGGGTTCTATCTCGAGAACGGTCAATACTTCCACCCTAGAGACCATGATTTTCGGAATCAGCGTGCTGAGAAGGCTCTGTGAGCCAATTTTCAGCCAAATCGGGATGGCCCGGTCATGGGTGGTAAGAACTTTAGAGGGTTCTATCTCGAGAACGGTCAATATTTCCACCCTAGAGACCATGATTTTCGGAATCAGCGTGCTGAGAAGGCTCTGTGAGCCAAATTTCAGCTAAATCGGGATGGCCCGTTTCTCGCTGCTGGACTCGCTGCGAGGGTTCTATCTCGAGAACGGTCAATATTTCCACCCTAGAGACCATGATTTTCAGAATCAGCGTGCTGAGAAGGCTCTGTGAGCCAATTTTCAGCCAAATCGGGATGGCCCGGTCATGGGTGGTAAGAAATTTAGAGGGTTCTATCTCGAGAACGGTCAATACTTCCACCCTAGAGACCATGATTTTCGGAATCAGCGTGCTGAGAAGGCTCTGTGAGCCAATTTTCAGCCAAATCGGGATGGCTCGGTCATGGGTGGTAAGAACTTTAGAGGGTTCTATCTCGAGAACGGTCAATATTTCCACCCTAGAGACCATGATTTTCGGAATCAGCGTGCTGAGAAGGCTCTGTGAGCCAAATTTCAGCTAAATCGGGATGGCCCGTTTCTCGCTGCTGGACTCGCTGCGAGGGTTCTATCTCGAGAACGGTCAATATTTCCACCCAAGAGACCATGATTTTCGGAATCAACGTGCTGAGAAGGCTCTGTGAGCTAATTTTCAGCCAAATCGGGATGGCCCGGTCATGGGTGGTAAGAACTTTAGAGGGTTCTATCTCGAGAACGGTCAATATTTCCACCCTAGAGACCATGTTTTTCGGAATCAGCGTGCTGAGAAGGCTCTGTGAGCCAAATTTCAGCTAAATCGGGATGGCCCGTTTCTCGCTGCTGGACTCGCTGCGAGGGTTCTATCTCGAGAACGGTCAATATTTCCACCCTAGAGACCATGATTTTCGGAATCAGCGTGCTGAGAAGGCTCTGTGAGCTAATTTTCAGCCAAATCGGGATGGCCCGGTCATGGGTGGTAAGAACTTTAGAGGGTTCTATCTCGAGAACGGTCAATATTTCCACCCTTGAGACCATGATTTTCGGAATCACCGTGCTGAGAAGGCTCTGTGAGCCAATTTTCAGCCGAATCGGGATGGCCCGGTCATGGGTGGTAAGAACTTTAGAGGGTTCTATCTCGAGAACGGTCAATATTTCCACCCTAGAGACCATGATTTTCGGAATCAGCGTGCTGAGAAGGCTTTGTGAGCCAATTTTCAGCCAAATCGGGATGGCCCGGTCATGGATGGTAAGAACTTTAGAGGGTACTATCTCGAGAATGGTCAATATTTCCACCCTAGAGACCATGATTTTTGGAATCAGCGTGCTGAGAAGGCTCTGTGAGCCAATTTTCAGCCAAATCGGGATGGCCCGGGCATGGGTGGTAAGAACTTTAGAGGGTTCTATCTCGAGAACGGTCAATATTTCCACCCTAGAGACCATGATTTTCGGAATCAGCGTGCTGAGAAGGCTCTGTGAGCCAAATTTCAGCTAAATCGGGATGGCCCGGTCATGGGTGGTAAGAACTTTAGAGGGTTCTATCTCGAGAACGGTCAATATTTCCACCCTAGAGACCATGATTTTCGGAATCAGCGTGCTGAGAAGGCTATGTGAGCCAATTTTCAGCCAAATCGGGATGGCCCGGTCATGGGTGGTAAGAACTTTAGAGGGTTCTATCTCGAGAACGGTCAATATTTCCACCCTAGAGACCATGATTTTCGGAATCAGCGTGCTGAGAAGGCTCTGTGAGCCAAATTTCAGCTAAATCGGGATGGCCCGTTTCTCGCTGCTGGACTCGCTGCTCGCTGCTAGTTTGACAGACGTCAACAACACAACACACAAAAATAAAAAAGAATGAAGCTCGCCGTAAATGCCGCTGCGCGGTGTGCTACCATATTGCTACCATATGAAGGGGATAGTCGCGGAGTAATAAAGGAATCTTGGTCGCGGACGTCGCGAACGCCAATTTCCATGGCGTTGAAGTTCTCTTAAATTTTCTTGAATTTCCGGCAGCTTGCAGATAGGCGGCGGAACGGGGGGAGGGCACCGGGTCACCGTGCCCCCTTGATTTTGGCATTTTAACAATTGCCCTATGGCAATTGCCCTATGGGCGTTGCATGGAAAGAATGGGACCAAAAGTCAGCGGTGCCCCCCCCCCCCCCTTCATTGAAGGCGTTCCGCCGCTACTGAGCCTGCATCGAGATGCCAGTATGAACACCAGGCCAGACTAGCCATCTATAGCACCAGGCTACCCAGACGCAGGCCTGCATAGTACCTACATAGCTCACAAATACGTTTGCTCTTCTGCAATAAAACATAACCTTTTGGTTATAAAGACAAGGAAAAAAAACACCGAGGCATCAAAAAATGTTTTTACCTGTATTTCAAAAGATAAGGTTGGAATTTTCAATAGAAAATCACAATTCTTAATAATAGTGATTGTCTAACTGAAAAGTCCCAACCTTCGGATACATGATCGGGAACGATGAGCGAAACGTTAGACGGTATCAGTGATGTGACGCATTGTGCGTATCTACAGATTAACAGATCCATCAGGAGATTCAAACAAAGATGCAGATTCGAAAGGACACAGATTCGCTGTCAATCTGAGCTTGGAAATGTGCGTCTATTGTGCTACCATCTAACGACTTAGCGGAAATCCGCTATAAACACGTATGCACAACGAATGGCCCGCTACTATGCAGCATACCTAACAGCACGCACATCCGATAAAAATACATGAGCTCACTCGCTGTTGATCCACTGGACAATGCCATGAAACAGACGTATAAAAATACGATGCTGATCAAACACTCCCCCATTCAGCCTAAACTCCGGCTGCACACGGACAGAACTGGTTACAAAGCCTTGTGGCACAGTCAACGAATGACGGATGGACGGACGGATGTACAGACGAACGGACGGATGTACGGACGGACGAAAAGCGTTACCGAGCGCACTGGCTCCAGCATCTCCGTGGCTAAATGTCTCTGCTCATTACAGCTCTGTTATTACATACGCGACGGAAAAGGCGGGTAAAATGCACTAAAAGACACGTTGAATTATGAACTTAAGCTAGACTGTGCAACATTTGCCAAAAAGCAATAACGGAAGTAATCGATCAAAAAAGAAAACAGCGCGAGTAAAACACACAACAAACCTACTGCTCGCATGATTGTAAGAGAGTAATATTAACATTGCTGCGATCTTCCGTCAAACAGGAATGTCAAAGCAGATGTTTACACTGGTGCAAATGCCTAATACTAATCAGAAAGTAAATGTTTAGACCGATCAAGCAGAGATTCCTCGTTACGAAAATAACATTCGCTCGTTCACTCATGGCCGACTGGCTGAGCCGGTGCCTCTCAGAGGCAGTGTTTGTTGGAGCTCAGTTAGACGCCGAGTCCGCTGCGCCGGGGAGCGCGTCAGACGCTGCCTTCGTCCCGGTTAGTCGGCAGTGACCGAGACGGGGTACGCCCAGTCAGAGTCTAGCCGGCCCGATCCCGCGCGTTCAACTTCAGGCCCGCACACATCATCCACTCGGGCCGCTCACACCTGCGACGAGGACTCGTAGGCCACCGGCGGCGCCGAGAAGCCAAAGTCGGAGTTTTTCGTCTCGCGCCGCGCCTCCACCCAGTAGAGGATGCCGGCAAAGTAGAGCAGAACCGAGCCGACCGCGCCTGCGGCAGGACATGACACGGTGTCAGTGGAAAGGCACGCCAGAGTCGGAACAAAAAACGGTGTCAGGAAAGCTCACGTCACAGTCAGTAAACGACACAGAGCCACAGTGAGCAAGTCCATCTACCACAGAACAGACTAGGTAAATGTTGATATTTGACGGCGATCTCCTTTACAGCATAATGATCACTAAGAACTAAATAGATAAGTTTCCCATTTACTTATAGGAGCATTACATGAACGAAATCCTGGACTAAAGTACATTCAATTTGAGGTCCTATTTCTTTGAAAACGGCAGCTGACATATAAGAACGGTATGGCCAGAGCATACAATAAGCACGATCACAGAGTGTTCAGTGCGGTGACTGATTGCTATCAGACAACAGTCAAAGACGCGAGGTGACTCCTGACTAGGGTGGGCGATATCAGGTGACAGCAACGACAGGTGACAGTTCAGTATCACAAGACAATGGTCAAAGCTGAAAAGTGACTGAGTGATACCATGGATGTGATACCATGTGACAGTGATGGCAGGCGACGGTCAATGATAACAGGCATCAATCAGTCAGCATAACCAGGTGATAGTCATGATAACAGGCAGCTAGCGATGATACGTGACAGTTATGACAGGCAACAGTGGATGACAGCCCGATAGAGCGGTGAGCGACGGCAGGCAGTGCGTCTCTCATGCGGCGAGGTGAGGTGGGCACAGTGGCTGGCGTGCGCCGCTAGATTCACGTGCAGTGGGTATACCGCAAAGTCACGATGCAGAATGGTCAGCCGGGACCCGAGTCGGTGGAAAGGGTACGCTGTGCCGACGGTCGGTGTTGAAGGTGCGTTGTCGGCTCCCAACCATCCGCCGTTTACCACCGACGCGACCGGGACATGAACAGAAGTGTGCGGCACGACTGACGGTTCCCTGCGCTGGCGGACATCGCGTCACGTTCATGCAGGTGTGGGGGCCGCGCTGTGCTGAGGGTAACGGGCGGGATCACCGGCAGGCCGCACTGGTACCCCGCTCAGATGGTTGAGGTGACGGCCGCCGGCCCTTTGGCCACTGGACGCCTCAGCCGCAGCAGTCGCAGTTGGACGCGCGACTCGACCCAGAGTAGGATGGCGCCCAGCGCGGCCAGTACAGAGCCCACGGCGCCTGCCGAGCCAGTCCACAGCGTCCCTCAGACCAGCGGACACAGCTACACACACACAGCGGGCGCTCCGCCACCCAGCGGTTGGCAAACACTGCTGAATGGAGCTCAACTACTCTATAAAACATAAAACGGGGAGAGTGAAGCCGACCATACCGGCCCTGCATGGGCTGAGGAAGTAATGTACACAGAAAGGGAGTTGATGGATGGGGAGGGGTACAATACAAAGCATAGCTAACAGCGCAGAGGCCAGCCCGCCACCAGCTATAGCCGCTGATACTGTCAGATACGTCCTGCCACGAGATATGAGCGGGGTCACAGGAAAATAAACCGGTAACCAAAGCATGACGTTGAGATACGATTAACGTGGATTAACCAACAGGAAAAGACAGACAAAACTGAGATATGGAGGTGCAATTTATCTACAATCGTTACCTTGGAATAGGCGGACTGCTAATTACTGATCGGCATGTCATAAGCAGGGATTTCATGCAAAATATGCACAGTTGATGACAAATAGTTTATGGTAACAAGGCAGCTGCGAGCAAAGTTTATCTGTATCTCGGGGAAATAGATGACTCAGGGAGTAAAAATAGGAACTGTCCACAGAGGTTGCGTGCACTACGAAAACACACAGTTCCTCGTAATCTGCGGTTCTATTTCGCGTACGGCTCGCCTATGCCCGACTTCACCACCTGTTCCTGGAGCCACTGACGGAGCGAATGCCGGCCCTGCGCCACTCACCAAGCCCGAAGCTCCAGGAGAGGTTGTTGTGGTCGTAGTCGGGCATCCAGTCCCTCTCGTCACCGAGCGCGCCGAACGTGATGACCGCTATGGTGCCCGTAACGGCTGTCGGAGAGACCAGAGGGTGTCAGGAACGCAAATTCGGGTCCATAAAACGTAACAGAAGAAGCAGGGGTGACGGGGACGCTTACCGGGCCGGTGGCGAGTGACTGGGGGAGAAGGGTGACAGGAACGCATCGCATACAGGGCTGTTGGCAGTTGACATAGGGACAGAGGGACCAGGACACTACGAGGTCGTGACTGCTGAGCAGGTAACGACCGTTCTCGTACAGAAATCCCATCACGTACAGAATCCCCATCCTATGTAAACTTAGCACGGGTGAATATTGCACCCACGTGCACACATCCCCCTTCCCCATCATCCAACTGCAAACGACCACTGACAAACAGCCACACCTACCTGCGAATCCCAGCACAAATGAGGTGGCCTTGAGGAAACTGCCCTCGCGTTCGTGTTCCATGCAGCAGACGGCCGCCATCACCATCACACCGGCCAGCAGGCAGGCCAAGAAGCAGAGCGTGAAAAACAGCTGCACCGCCACGAAAAACGCTGAAAACACAAACATACAGACGTGACTACGGGAATTACTGTGATGATAATGTGTGAGCAGTAAAAGATTAGGCGCTCGTCCTTACTCTTAGACAGTCAGCAAATGTGGCGAACTGTCAGTCTCCAGTTAAACAGCTATACCATTGTTTCGTCACCTCGGTAAAAGATCAAATTAAATCAGACGGGCTCGCAGAGACGTTTGAAAAACCTGCCCTAAATCGTGTGCACAGTCCGCGGTGGCACGGTCTGCGAGTGTCGCCAGCCCCGAGTTACGCACGTGGCCGGACCAGGTAGTCGATGATCTGGTACTCCTCGTCCAGAACCCAGCGGCAGCCGGAGAACTCGGTGTCGTACAGGCGCAGTCGCTCCTGGAACTTGTCGAAACAAACCGTCCACAACCCTGCAACACAGCAGAACAGACGTGCGTCAACAATCAATGATACGAGAGAGTCATATCAGAACAAATATATCTGCTTTAATCTAATAGCGCGGGTCAATAAAACGAAAGACCAAACTCCAAAGATGTTCAGTTACATAGCATGGCGGATGATGGAAAACGGACGTAGCACGATTGTAAGAAGCTTAGATTAACATGAATATGTTATCTATGCACGAAGACATCTTTAGAGCTAAGTCTTTTATAAGGCTGCAACCTACGGTGTTGTTGCAACAATTCTACCTACGAAATGTAGCCCTCAGAGGACAGAACAATTGAAGTCTGACAGAGCCAGTTCATAATGTCAGCTGAATGTCTACATTTCTTTTGTCCAATTACGGCTCGGACCTTGCGGATCGTTTAGTGTAATGATGAAACGTTGACTTTCTCTTTTGTCCAATTACGGCTCGGACCTTGCGGATCGTTTAGTGTAATGATGAAACGTTGACTTAGCTTTGAATGTAAGGCTTGAGAAAATGGAAACATTCCATTAGAACCTAACAGAAGACCACGAACAAATTTTGGAAGCCAGTTCAGATAGGCAGGCACATAGGTAGGTGCTGAGCATAGGAAGGCACGGTCCGTTTCTCCGTTCCGAAAAGTCGTCAATCATTGTAACTTTCAACAACGGCGGAACAGGTTCCTTACCTACATTTCGAGAAGCATAACGAGCAACGTAACTGTTACGTTGTTCGTTGATACCATTACGTTTCATGTTACGTCGTAACGTGTACTGTGTCTAACATTACAAATGGGTTCGTTCCTCTGCCCTTGATTACCCGATTACATTTGATCATCCAAGACTGTTGGATAATGGCTTAGCATAAGCAATTGATCTCCAGCTTTTTATGTGGGCAGAAGAATGATATTTTCTGGGTTTTGACCGAGCACCATGTGATTGACGCATCACAAATGGCCCTCGATCGACGGTCCAGCCCGTCAGTCCCGGGAGATGTCCAGCATCTCAACTATTTGTTTTATCGCCCCATCTCCGCCAGTTGTTTGTCCCAACCAGCTGGTCTCTAATTCCAGCCTGCCTGTCACTTGCCTTGACCCCCAGGTCACTCATCTTGGCCCATGGGTTGTGAGATAAGCCTGCCATCCCAGCCCAACAAGTGCCTGGGCCTTATTAGGTTTCTCCACTAATGCAAGCTGCCTCTGTAGGATCAGTTAGTGGATTGTTTGCATTTCAAAGAAAGGAAGAGGGAGTGACAAAGTTAGAACTTTGAAAAGCAGTGCCCAGCTATACTGAACAGTGAACCTCTTTTTCTCTAACCAAAGAAGAACGCACCCCAGTATCACTGACCTAATTTGACAAACTTGGGCTCATCCAGTGATCCATCTGTTTCAAGCCAGTGTGGTGTGGCAAAGGCAATGACCACAGCCAGCAGGCTGATGAGCGTCAGCCATGAGGCAGTGATGAGCGTGTTGGAGAGCCGTCCATCAGCCATTGTGGAATCACCCAGCTGTTACTGCACAGGCCACCAAGCTGTATCACTGCTGCAGATACAGCAGACTGAAAACAAAAGGACAACATTCACAAACTGAGACATGAAAGCACACAGGTACAAATTCAAAAGAGGTGACGGCTTGACTTTGTGTTATAAATATAGGCATTGGTATAGCAGATGATGCAGGGGCTCATCTTTCCTGCCACCGCAGCAGAAAGTATCAGCACCCAGCACGAAACCCATGGAAGTGGCCACTTTGAAGCCTTACACACAGCACAAAGATAAGCCAGACAATAAAATGAAAATGAAAAATCACAAGAAAATAACGGTGAAACTTATTTCTCATATAACTGAGGCTGTGGTGTTGCCTACTTACTGAGGTAGGTGCCTAGTCAATGTGCTAATTGGTGAAGGTGCGTAGGTACCTACTGGCAAGCCTACAAACGAGAGACTCAAAAAGGAAATTTTAATCAATCAGCAAAGGCTTGTTTAAGCACTTATTAGGCGGTACTTTGTACGTCACAAACCCGTTCAGCTGCCAGGAAATAAAATAATCAAAACCACACCCAACCATACCAAATTCAACGCATGACAAGCGGCGTAGGAGGGGGCGCATTACCACGGCCACTTCAAAGACGATTTCAATTCTACATTGCTACCATATTATCTGTTTGTAGAAATGTTGATAAGTTTCGTTGCAAATCAATAATTCTACATGATGTTCAATATCATGGTTTTTTAACTTTTTAAATACATGGTGCCTTTTAATTTTGATAAAGTTTGCAAAGTGAAAAAATCGTTTATTTCCAATTTTATTCCCAACATAGCTTCCATATCTGCCAAAATTGAAATATCAGCTGACCTAATCCATGTAACGTCGCATCTGCGCCAGAGAGTTATTTTATTTTTGTTTGTGTGTGTTGAGCGCTCGAAGGACGCGGACGCTGGCGGTTTTTTGGTGATGAATGATGATGGAGCCGGTTGTGATCGGAAATTTTTGCCGGCTTGTAAAAAGCCTGAATTGGCTTTATTAATCTGAACAGAAAAAATGTAAGGAGCTAACGAGACGAAGGCTGTACCAACAAAGCAGCAATACTAATTGTACTGTATACCTACCTACACATAAAGTGATGTCGTTTGAGTCGTGCAATTCAAGGCGGTGTGGTTTTATTTTTGTTTTTGTTTTTTTTTTCTGGGACACTTATGAAAATTTTGCTTTCATGCAAGCTTTACATCAGATTCCTGCTGCTGATAAATTGCAGCGAAATGATAATGTTTCATGCCTGTTTTAAAAATACCTGATTAATGACTTACTGAAAACAGAAGTTATAATTGCTCTTATGACTTCTGTTTTTATCATCATATAATCACTGTCTTATCACTGTCATCATATTATCACCTTACCTGGCTTCCTTACCTAGTTGGGTTCACCAGCACCTTGCATCGTGTGTCTGTGAAAGACCGCAGGGCATAGAAAACAAGATGCACCAGCTTGCGCAGAACATAGGCTTAGGCTGGAGCCTTGCAGTCGTGGAAATATGACTGGGATTGTGCATCTACACTGTATGCACCATGGTTTTTGGGCCTGTGGATGCAATTGACCTGCTAGGTTTTTGTCAACAAAAGTACTTGGTACGTTAAATGGTACCTACTCTTGATGTTTATTTTTAAAATGTCATTTAATGAAATAGTGAAATAAAATACCAAGTTTTATAGATAATTGTCATTGAATATATTTTCTTGACCTATGCACTTTATTATGGATTAAAATGAAGCTGAATGATAGATGGTTAGGGTAAAGCTGATGTGATTGGATAGGCTAGGTACCTACCTTTACATATTGACATTTCATCATCAGTGACCAATATTTTTAAAACAGGCATCAGTGTCTTTCCCTCATGATCCAAAATGATGATTTTGTCATTAGTTAAGCATGTAAAGAAACTAGATAACTTTATTAGAAATAGCTTGTCTTAGACTGCAAAGCAGCTTGGCCATAAGAAAACAAAAGGGAATGAATTTTCAGAAACCTAACCTCTTTAAGGAGTAGGTATGCCTCCAGCAGTGTTCCAGGTAGTTTTTTTCTGGATCTACTAGCACCTGGTGATACTCTTCAGGTCCTGCCTCAAATGACCCAAACCAAAATTTTCATGGAATATTAGTAAGCTAACCTAATGCTCTGTCAAAGGAGACAGTACTACACCTCACTCCTTTTCAGAAGCTTATGAAAAATGGTAGATTGTTTGAAAGCCTACTCTGCCACTCAGTGAATAAAAGTTAAGTGTTTTCAAGGCTAAATGATATATTTACCCTTGCCCCCTTCCTAGAGGATTCCATGATGCTATCAAAAGTTATTCCTATGAAAATCATGCTAAACTTCACTGATACCTACTACATTTCCACTTTCCCCATTTGTTTTATTTTCCCTATTCCTTATCCCTATTTCCTTTCCATTTATCTCATATAAATTGTTTGGAGGATGTGTCACCTTTATAGTATAAAACGATTGAATGATTCAAGCAATTTGCAGCTCGTATTGAACTCTTAAATCGGCATCACATGATCCCCCTTACTTCCAGTGAGAGTAGCCCTGTAACTACATGTACAGCAGTGCCAATCATTAATATTCAGCGTCCCCGCCCTGGCCAGGTCTCAGAGGAGGCTAGAGGAGGCATTCGTTGGCGATTCTGAGGCAGCTGTGTCTGTTGCTGGGCCCTTAGAAGGAGCTCGCGCCCGTCAGCTGCGGAGGAGAGCTAACGACTCCGCCAGCGAGGCGGGCTCTGAGACGGGCGACCCGGAGCGGCGCAGGTACCGGCGGCGGGACGGGCACCGCCTAGTGGTCACTCAGAACTGCCGCACCCAATGCTGAGCCTATGGTGTACGTGAGAGCGCGCTAAGGGCGCACCGGCAGCCGCTGGAACATACAAAATTTAATATGACATTTTGAATTATCTGGTCGACACATCCTGAAATTTAATCCGCGTACGTTGAAGGACGGCGGGCCCCGTCATAAAAAGCGTTACAAAACGTGACTGCGCGCGCTTGTGGGCGGCTGTGGGCATGTTAAGATTTTAAACAACACGCGTGGCTGAAATAACCGGATTCGAATTAAATGGACTATGGCTTCAATGTTCATCAAAATCAGCAAATACATACTGACCGTGCCTGGCTGACCTCCGACTGTTGTGTCTGTGTCGCCTCGTTCTGTCTGACCTGTGACCGGTCCTCGTCTGGCAGGTCGCGCCGCCACCTTCAAGAGTCGGCCACCGGTGGTGCGGAGCCGGAGCCGGAAGGCAAGCGGCGCCGTCTCCTTGATCTGCAGGCCGACCCCGGCACGGGCCCGACCGCGAAGAAGCACAAGTTCAAGAAACTAGCCAACATCACCGCCAAAAATAAGGCGGCTGCGCTGCTTACGAAAACCGGCACGGGCAAAATCAAGAAGAAGCCGTTCAAGGGGCTCAGCTACTCGTTCATCACGAAGAAAAAGAAGAAGGTGAAGAAGACCGCCGGTGAGGAGTGTGGAACTGGTGCCGACTCGCTGGTGAGCTTCCACGTCCGGGAGCTGGGCGCTGTGGAGGCGATGAAGGCCGAGCGTAGGCTGGTCGCCGAGCCCCGGAGCCGTGACCTGGCCCTGGCAGTGGAGCCGGCCGTCGGTGGCGTCACTGATGAGCTGCCCGAGCGTCTCTCGGACGGAGCGGAGACGGAGGTGGGGCAGCCGGCCGCCCCCGTCCCGCTGAGTGCACCCGAGGACTCTGAGATGGTCACTGAGGACGAAGAGAGCGTGCCCCCGCCGCCGGCTCCGGCCTCGGACGTACAGAGCGCTGCGGGCTCTCAGGCCGAGCTGCGGCTGGCTATCAGCTCCGAGGACGACGGCGACAACAGCAGTGAGAGTAGCGAGGCCGCCCGAATCCGGATGCTCAAGGGAAAGGCTCGGAAGAGCATGCCGAAGGTGACGCTGAAGAAGGCGTTTGTGCCGAGCTCGATGCGCATACCCAGTCCGCCCGAGGACAGCTGCGCAGATGAGGACGAGGAGAGTGGGGATGGTGAGTGGCAGTGTTGAGGCCGGCGGTATGTCACAGTGGCACAGCTGCTTTCTATGCTGCTCCCCCAGCCGGGCTGGGCTGGCAGAAGGGCGCTGCTGTAGCGTTATTTGAATATCGCCACTCGCCAGTGAATTTCGTTGCTAGCTATGGCTGCTCGTTTTCATCATGAACGTAGTGGATTGTAGTGATTTTGTGCAAGTTTAGCGAACAATTCAACTCGAACTCTCATGGTAGAATTGGACCCAATAACGCCTGCTTCCTTGTCTTTTCTCGTTTATGTTATTTTTCTTCGTGAAAAATTCACGCGTTTCTCTTACCTGTTGGAGCCGCGAGAGTGCCGGGTGGATCTGACCGTCCGTGTGTGCTCAGGTCTCGATTCCAGTGCTCCGCCGTCTGTCGGCGGCGGCAGCGGCGGCGGGCGGCCGGCGCAGGGTGCCGCCTCTGTGGCCTCTGCGGTGAAGCGCCGGCGCGGCAGCGTCACCCAGCCGGCGACGGCGTCGGCTCTGGTGCGGCTCGGCCGGCGCGCCGACTCTCTGACCTGCTCCCCGGCCGGCTCGGTCACCGGCGGCAGCGGGGCCGGCGAGGCGGCGCCGCCTGAGGGTACCGTGCCGCCGCCCAAAATGGTCAGTATCGGCAGACAGTGTTTAAACCGGTGTAGTCAGTAATATCGCCAGTCGTTGGTATGTTTAGACAGACGGCCGCTAACTGGCCAATTATACATGTATGCCAGCATGAGTGTGGCTGGTACCGAGTGATCAGTAATTGTTCCTCCGTCCCTCCCTCTGCGTTCCGACTGCGGCGTTACCCGCGCCCGTTGCCTGTCGTCAGATGGACCCGATGCTGACCACCATAGCCTGTAAATGTGTGGAGACCAAGACACCCACGGCCGACCTGGACCTGGCTAAGGAAGACTACTACTGTCGCGGCATTGACGCCATCGACGGCCGGCTGATCGGCTGCTGCAACCTCGTCACCAGCACCAGGTAATACGCACCGGCACCGGTTAATAGCACCAGGTAGCGGGTAATGATACTAGAAAACGGGTACCGGCAGCGGGTAATGACGCGATCACCAATTAACGGTCCATTTAATGGCCCCCTCTCTGCAGTCTCGCTGATTTCCGAGACGTGCCTATATAAAGATGAAACTTGCCTGGCTTTGTGAAGTAAGCGCTAAACCCGTTAGTAGATCGTGTAGATAGAATGATTTTTCAAAGCTGAATGATGACTTGCCGTCGGCAGGATGATTCGCCCGAGCTTCAAGGTGCCGTTTCTACTGATGTGCGGCCTGCACAGGGAGAGGATGCGCCGACACCACTGCTGTCCATCGTGCGGGGTGTTCTGTACTCAGGTGAGCGTCTGCTCCTCGTGTGGGGATGTTCTATGCTCACTAGTAGTGAGTATAGAGAGAGTCACTATTCAGCCACTAATCAGATGAGCGTCTGTTCCTCGTGGAGACTGGAGAAGTTAAATAGAAATATATTTTCATGTTGTAGACGGTTAGGCTCAATGCTAAGCGTAGATAATGTTAAACATTGATGCCCCCCACCTTCCTAGTCGAATGACAGCATAATGACCAGCTGCGAGTGTTGCTGTTGACACCCTGTCTGTCTCCGTCGGCAGGGAATCTTTATGCGGTGCACACACGAGTGCACTCCACATCTGTTCCACCGCAAGTGTGCCGCCCAGGTGGGCGACCTGATCATGTGTCCCCACTGCGGCAACTCGGACGACCTGAAGACGGTGCAGCTGACCATCCGCACCGGGCGCACACCTACCTTCTACCACCAGCAGGGCGTGCTCAAGAAAAGGTGAGAAATCGACCATCCGTTTTATACCAACAGCAGGGCGTCAAGAAAAGGTAGGTCACTGACCACTAATTGTCAATTGATAGACTTCCGTATACCGGCATGAACCATGGACGATGTATACGTCCCGGCGGACCTCGTTATACAAAGTTCTGTGACCTGTCTTATACTTACTACCCACCACCACTGCAGAGCATGCTTAAGAAAAAGTGACTGGTGACTGGTGAGCCACCGCCTATCTACATTCAGTCATAAACGTGCTGCATTGGCCAGGCGGCAAACTGTACGCACGGGTGTGATTGCCCTTCGCTGCAGCATTCGACTGTCGTGCCCTCCCATTCCCCGTTGACGTAACACCGCACTGCTCAGTGGTGTTTCACTGACCGTGTGTTTCTACCTTCCGTCGACAGTCGCAGCGCTCGGATGGCCATCACTCGCGGTGTGGAGCGCGCCGGGGCTCTGGGGGCCGATGGGTTCAGCCGACCGTCACCCCACCTGAGTCCGTACCGACTGACGCTGCCTGACGGACGTGTACTGGCCGCCAACGGGATGCCCGTCGGACCAGACAGGTCAGTCAACGGGGAAGGGAAGCGGTGTGGAACAGGAGGGCGAGCGTTAAGGGACAGAGGACGAATAGTGAGAGACGGGTTACGAACAATGTGGGACGGGGGACGAGCGGCGAAGGACACAGGGCAGCAGCTGGGGCTGAGTGACTGCGGACGGGCCTTAGAATCAATGTGTAGTGTGGGGATCCAATCCTGAGTACGCTGATATCTGAATGGGCATGACTATACATCATTCATCTGACTGATCTATCCTCCCGTTCGATCGATTTGCCCGTAAGATCTACCTGTGTGTCTGTCTATCCGTTTAATGTCCCCTCATAATATGGCCGATCTATTCACCCGTCTGATCTGTGCCCCTTCCGCTTCCCGGCGGCCAACCAGGCAGCAGCTGGAGCGCAGTCTGCTGGCCGTCACCCAGTCGGCCGCCACGGTCGGAGGCGAGCCCAAAATTCTCATCAAGGACCAGCTCAAGTTTCTGCGCTCGTCAGACCTCGAGAAACTGATCTCCATGATTGGTACGTTACATAGCCGGTAGACAGTGACTGGACCAATGGGTTTTAGTCGGTACCTACCTACACTCTGTCTCTGGGTTACTGGGTTTTGTACCTACTATGTTTCTCTATATCCCGTCGACTTCTGTTCCAAGTAATGGCTGTGTACGCTACTCCATTTCAGGATTACGTGAGCTAGCTATCATTGTTGATTATAGCCTGCTAGTTTTGTTACTCTTTTACATCTTGTCACTGTGATTGGCCACATTTGGAATACTCCTGCTGCACTTGCTCACGGCGGCGTGGCCATTTACACGAGTGGAACCATCTGATATGCTCCTGCAATCTATATTTACCCTTCCTATCTACCATCGCCCGGCTTGCTCGTGATGTGCCGCAGCTCAGGGCTGGTCGCCCAACCAGAAGTACCGCGAGTGCGGCCAGCAGACCGCCCTGCACGTGTGTGCCGAGCACGGTCACGTGGCCGCCGCTCACCTACTGGTAACCGCCGGCGCCGCGCTCGATCCTGTCGACCGCGACCTGCAGACGCCTCTGATGGTGGCTGCCGCGCGCGCCCAGAACAGCGTGCTGAAGTACCTGGTGACGGCCGGCGCCGCGCTGGACGCAAAGGTACGTGGGACGGCGGACGGCTGTCGAAGATTGCACTGTGTGATTTTCTAACTTCCATTAGGTAATACTTGATAAGAATTATCGATTCTGTCTCCTATCTCTGTCTCCTATCTTCTATCTCCTACACTATCATTTCGCACAGATTGACTCGTGTAAAGACATTGTATGTACTTCCGCGTCTGTGCTGCTGACGTGAGTTATGCGTCGTGCTCTGGGCAGGGCGAGGACGGTATGACGCCGCTGCACTTGGCGGCCCAGGCCGGTAACCTGGAGGGCTGCCATTACCTGCTCTCCAGCGGCCGCACAGAGACGGGCTACGTGAACAGACAGGACGACGGTGGCTGGACGCCCGTCGTCTGGGCCTCCGAACACAAACACCCAGTGGTGGTGAAGTAAGTATGCAGTCTGCTTAGATAGAGTATTTGTGAGTTGAGTCTCCGCGAACCCCCGTGGTGGTCAAGTGAGTCCTCATCACAGATGCGGGATGTTTGTGAACTGAGTCTCCACAAGCTTGATGTCTTGATCAAGGCCAAACAACCACAGTTATCAGAATGATATTGACTGTACGAGGCTTAGGTGGTGAATAAGTGCCAGATCTATCTCCAATAATTGTTGGTTCATACTTATCATGTTATCGGCTAGGGCAGATAAGCGTCTTGGCCGGACCGCCGGCCTCTCATTGACCTCGCCTATGACGCCCCTCAGGTACCTGCTGGAGCGCGGCGCCAACCCGCAGCTCTGTGACGAGGAGCAGAACACGGGCCTGCACTGGGCCGCCTTCTCCGGCTCCATGGAGATTGCCGAACTGTTCCTGGCCGCCGGCTGCCACGTCAACTCTCCCAACGTGCACGGCGACACACCGCTGCACATCGCCGCCCGCCAGCGTCACTACCACTGCACGCTGCTGATGCTCGCGCACGGCGCTAACCTCTACCTGAGGAACCGCGAGGGGAGCGTCCCACTAGACTGCTGCGGCCCGGACCGCACCGACACTCGCCTGGCGCTGCTGCTCAACATGGAGCTGAGCCGGCTGGCCGAGCGCAGCCGCGCCCGCCGCGGCGAGCGGGTGCTGAGCAACGACGTGAGCCGCGGCAAGGAGAAGCTGCCCATCCAGGCGGTGAACGATTGTGACGACTCGCCGCTACCCTCCGACTATGTGTACGTGGCAGAGAGCTGCGAGACGATGAAGCTCAACATCGACCGCACCATCACCAGTCTTCAGGTGAGAGTCGCGACTGACGCCTGTGGCTCTACTGCTCAGTTGAGCCTCTGCCGGTGCCTTAGTTTTGAGCGTGTTCTTCCTTGGTACCTATACGTCCTGTGTGATTCGTCAGTGCCTCGGCGTGTCTTGTCATTGACTTGCTAGTTTGCTTCGCGTCAGCATGTAGGAGGCTGTGTCGGTCTACCGTAGTATTCCGCGGGTCATGTGGTAAATGTGTGGACGTCGGTCTTGTTTTCGACGTGGCCTGATCCGTGTCGTTGTTTATTGCCCGGTCCGTGACCGGACCCTGACCGCCCCCATATCCGTGTCTCCAGTCGTGCGCCTGTGTGGACAACTGTATCTCGTCAGACTGCATGTGCAGCCAGATCAGCCTGCGCTGCTGGTACGATCCCGACGGACGGCTGCTACCAGAGTTCAACTACACCGGTAAGAGCGGTGGCTCGGCTCTGAGGTGTAGACGAATTATGACTGTGTAAGCTGTTGGAAAGTATAGGGTTCAATATCGGCCATGGCTGTCAAAGTTTCAACTAGTCTTGCTATTCGACACGCTCGGTTTAACCGCTCATACTCTAATTGAATATGATTCCCCTTTCTTCTTGTGTCAGTTCAGTGACATACTCTGCGTACTCTTATGGCCCGCTTTCCCACCTCTGTTGCACAGACCCACCGATGATCTTCGAGTGTAACCGGGCGTGCGGCTGCAACCAGCTGACATGCAACAACAGGGCCGTGCAACACGGCATCACGTGCCGCGTGCAGATGTACCGCACTACGGACCGCGGCTGGGGCGTGCGCGCCCTCAAACACATCCCCAAAGGCACCTACGTCTGCGAGTGAGTCTGACTGGGCGGCCAGGGTGCTGGGCTGGGTGGAGTACTCTGTGCTGCAACGAGATGCTGGCGCGATAGTCATTGCTAGTTTATGCTGTTCGGTGTAGGTAAATGAACTTCAAGGGGAACGAATGACCGTTTTCCATTTGCTGTAATGGAACACCAGCTGCTTCCGATAATAAGGAATTGGCGCTATCCTTGTATTTGTGGTTATACTGTTGCGAAGGTCTTGGCCCCAATTATCACCACATCCTGGTGTCACATAGCCTCTAACTAGGCAAGCTGGCGCCCGGAGACTGGAGAGGCCTGCATATGACCTTCGCGGTCCGCGATGCCTCGGCTGTGTGTCAAGTCCCGGGTGCACTGTTTGATACCGTGCCTTCCATTCACACAGGTACGTCGGCGAAATCATCACCGACTCTGCGGCCGACCAGCGCGAGGACGACTCGTACCTCTTCGACCTGGACAACCGTGACGGCGACACGTTCTGCCTGGACGCACGCCGCTACGGCAACGTGAGCCGCTTCATCAACCACCGCTGCGAGCCCAACCTGGTGCCCGTCAAGGTGTTCGTCGACCATCAGGACGTGCGCTTCCCGCGGATCGCTCTGTTCGCCTGCCGCGACGTCGAGCCGGCCGAGGAGCTCGGGTGAGTGGAAGGGAGGGCCGGCCGAGGAGCTCGGGTGAGTGGAAGGGAGGGCCGGCCGAGGAGCTAGAGCGAGAACCGGAGAATTATTGGGCTGGTCGGAGAGCCAGGCTGAGACTCGGGAACGGAAGGGCCAGGCAGAGAGCTAGGTGAGAGCCGGGTGCGAGATTGGGACCTGGGAAGGTCGGGGTCATCGAAGGAGGTGTGAAGCCAGCTCCCGGTCAAGAGGCTGGCATAAGCACTGTTGTGGATCCGCACGTAACTTCTCACGATAACTTGTTAATTTGCATGATAACGAATTGTAATGCGTATTTGGCTCATCAAACAGTGTTTTCACGGCAGTAACATGCAGTAAGTGACCTCCAACACTTTGGTTTCAGTTTCGATTACGGTGAAAAGTTTTGGATGGTAAAGTACAAGATGTTCACTTGCAAGTGTGGCTCGCCCAAGTGCAAGTACTCGTCGGAGAGTATCCACGTGACACTGGCCAACTACAACAAGAAGCTGGCCGAAGCCGAGCAGAAGGCGGCCAAATGACACCCGGCGCACGGTGGGCCCTGCTGACGGTAACGTCTGGCGCACGGTGGGCTGTGCTGACAATGACGCCCGGCTAAAACGGTCAGTTCACGGCGCCCCGCCGCCGCTGGGAATGGCTGACCTCGCCAGTGTGAGTGAAGTGTCCCGATGGGCATCCGCTGCCGCTGTGCAGCCTTTTTGGGGACGTGTGGCGTATTTCTGTTTAGTTTCATACTAGTAGCCCGGATCATTCTCATTGTACCTAATATCCACCAGAAGGATGTTTTCTACAGGTCCGTGCGTCGAAATATTTGGGATTCTGACATTTTGTACCAGAATGAAGGAAGCATTTAAGCTTCCCGCTCGTGTGAAAGGGCCCGAATGTTTTATACAAAGGTTGACGGTAGGTTTCATTTCTTAAATTGTTTGTTTTAGTGTTAGCTATCAAATGCCGCTGGCTTTCAGGTGACAAACGGTACCTCATTTGAGCGCGTGTGATTGATGAACTGCCATCAAATTTTGTCAGGTGTTTGTAGACTGTTACTGACCAGTAAAATGTCCCTGGGGTCCGGATGATTAACTTTTTTTCCGGATTCCGCCAGATCTAGGATATTGGACTCCATTGCTTTGGCCCTGTGATCTGTCCGTGGCCAAATGTCTAGCAGCGCCATTTCGCTGCCAGTTAGCCAGGGTTTGGACAAATACATTTTGATCAATAATCTGTCGGTTGTATTAGTTATTGCCACACATTGATAAATATTTATTTGGGACTTCATTGCTTCCGCGTCGTACGTCTCCACCAACTTATTTAGCGTGCACCGTTCGGGAACGGGACCTGAGGTCTTCAGATCGGCATGGTTGGTGTATTTCCATTCTGCGGTAAATAATAACTAGGCCTCCTGCTTGTAGTCATTTTTACATGTTCGTACATTATGCAACTATTTCAAAGGCGTGCCTTGGTAATACGTTTGCGAGCTGATTATTAATATTGCAACATTTCCAACTAGGTAGTCGGCAAGTAAAGTTTTTCTCATGCATGCGACATTGCATGATCAAATGAAAGTTGACATAGCAGCAGCTCCTTTTTTTGCAGCTGGTGCAGCAGCTGCAGCTGTTCCGTCATTGCAGCGGCTCCCTCAATACATCTGTAACAGTCAGTTCCCTCACTCCACCTGGTCCATTAGTAGCAACTGTTCCCTCACTGCAGCTGGTGCAGCAGCTGTTCCCTCACTGCAGCTGGTGCAGCAGCAGCAGCATCAGTCCGGTGACGGTGGCCGCTGCGCCCGTGGCGGCGGCTCCGTCGTATCCCTCCACCAGGACGTAGGGCAGCCCGCCGCCGCCACCGCCGCCGCCGCCGTTTGGCGCCTTGGTGCCGTCACCTGGCGTTGGGAAGGGGGAGGGTCATCGGTTAGCACTGGAGTGTCTGTGGCTAAGGCCAAACCGAGCCGATCACGCTAGTAAGACACCATGTGTCTACCGGGTGAGGGGTGGTGGCCTCACTCGAACGGCGAACGGTTGTCGTTTATAATTCACGCGTCGGCGCGGTTGGTCTTGATCGGCTAGCGTTTTTCCTTTTGTTAGCCAACTTCTTTGTTGGTAGACTGGGCTTGGTACAGAAAGCATGGGCGCTGCTGTCCTTCAGCCTTCATTTAATTCAACCTTTGTTACAGGTCTCTACAAGATCGATGCTAGCTGCGCAGTTGACAACACAAGAACCTTACCTAGCAATTACTCGTAGTAAAGGACTTCGCTGCCCAACTACCAGTTGCGCATTGTGGCTAAAAGTGACCTTCCACAGGAGCTAAACTAGTCATGTGGGGCTCTGGGAAGCCATAGGGACAGTAATGCCTGGCAGTGCCAGACGGTAGGGAATGGTGGGGATTAGTGGAAAGTTGCTGTTACTGCGTACTTTCTTGCTGACTGGTTTCACTATTTGGGTTCTTTCATTGGCTAACATTCCAGGAAATGCCTCAGTATTTATCTACATCCACAAATCCTGCTGAAGTATATCAGCAAGTGGTCAAAGGCTTCCTTTGTGTGTTTCTAACGACTGTTGAAACCGACCATTTCGCCACTTTCTAGACCTTTCCACGATTTGCTACGCCTCGACGTTTGGGAGTCAGATGTTACCTGTGTTGCAGAGGTCGCTGGTGCAGGTCCAGTAGTACATGGTGAACTCGTCGTTCACCTCCTTGCCGTCTGCGTGAGGCAGCGAGTTCTCGCAGCCCCTGGTGATCTGAACGACAACACCTGTTGGAAATGGGGGCTCGAGTCACGTGGAAGGCTTGCTTAGAATCGGTGCACAAAACGACACAACAGCACTTCAGTAGCTTACGGGTTTCCGGTGCTTGAAATTATAATTTTTTGTCATAATCATTCCAAGCCGACCTAATAAGCATGCATGCCTATTTCGAAAATTAGTACAAACAATCGTAATTCGATGATGCTCGGAATATACTTCGCATATAGCATATAGTAGTATCGGGCTATTGGTATATGATGGCTCATAATCTGAGCTGGTGATAGTTCAAGCAAAGTACCGAGTTATCGGTGTACTGTGGTGACAGCACACAAACTGAGTAATCGACGTCTGGTAATGACTTGGTATCTGGTCCTTAGTGTGCTGTGTTGTGCAAGTGCAGTGCCTGGGTCATCAGTGTATTGTCTGATAATGGCTCAGTAACTGGGTTATGGGTGTAATGTCTAGTAATGGCACATTACCTTGGTTGTCGGCTCGTATTGCCTGGTAATGTCACGGTACCTGGCTAATCAGTGCATTGTCTGGTAATGGCACAGTACCTGGGTTATCGATGTATTGTCTGGTAATGGCACAGTGCCTGGGTTATCGGTGTTTTTCTGGTGATGACGCAATGCCTGGGTCATTGATATTCTGTCTGGTAATGGCACAGTACCTGGCTTATCGGTGTACTGTCTGGTAATAAAGTACCTGGGTTATCGGTGTATTGTCTGGTAATGGCTCAGTGTCTGGGCTATTGATGCATTGTCTGGTAATGGCACAGTACCTGGGCGATCGGTGTATTATCTGGTAATGGCGATCATTATCTGGGTTATCGGTGTATTGTCTGGTATTGTCACAATATCTAGGTTATCCGGTGTAGGTACTGTCTGGTAATGGCACAATGTCTGGTTTATCGGTGTACTGTCTGGTAATGGCACATTACCTGGGTTATCGGTGCATTGTCTAATAGTGGCTCAGTACCTGGGTTATCGGTGTATTGTCTGGTAATGGCACAGTACCTGGGTTATTCGTGTTTTGTCTTGTGATGACTTAATGCCTGGGTTATTTGTGTTTTGTCTGGTAATGGCACAGTACCTGGGTTATCGGTGTATCGTCTGGTAATGGCACATTACCTGGGTTATCGGTGTATCGTCTGGTAATGGCACAGTACCTGGGTTATCGGTGTACTCCTGGCGCGTGATGGTGCAGTACTTCCGCTTGCAGGGCAGGTACGGAGCGCCGGAAGTCACTTTCTCGGGCGCCTTCTCGCAGGTCCGATCGTCCGCGTTTCCGACGCATGTGTAGCAGTTCTTAACGGATGCCCCTGCGGAGATATAATATGGCGGAATGAGTAAAAGGCTCAAGTAGCGTGTAGTCGCTCGAAATAGGCGATGACGTTGACATTTCTTTGTTGGAGACATAGGAAAATGAAAGTTGACGGCGCTGAGACCTTTTCCGTTTGGGTACATGTAGCACAAAGGAGCAACTTTCAACTCGTTGATGACTAAGGAGATGTTCGAACTGCGCCACGTCTCCGAAACATTTCTGGCTAGCTGGTCCCCGATCCGCGCGACCGCGCGCATCACCCTCTTTGCCGAATGCAGAGTCACGGTTTCGATTTAGAACGACTCAAGACTCAAGTTACGACTGAGGCTCAATTGGAGTGAAGTGCAGCTTCTATAGGCATACCATGGATGAGATAACACGAAGTCGCCAAAAACTGCGAAGACACCAATCCATAATTATTAACTCATCCATGGGCATACACTCAGTGGCACACATCAAAATAGTATGACGGAAATATTTTCAGAGCGAGATGTGAAACTTCTTTTTCCTAGAGTGCAGGCACTTCTACCGGTATATAGGGCCTTGCTTTTACCTTAAGATGCCAAGGCTGTCCTTTGGCATGCCAGCCTCGCGGAGCTGTTGCTGCTACTTGTCACCCGAGGTGATCGGAAGAGTAGAGGGCATCGAGCTCGACGGCTCGATGCTTCGAGCCGAATACACGGATCGGGCGCCACCTCAGCCTCACACCAAAATTAGGAAATACAGCGAATGCCGCGTCAGTCCCCGGTAGCTAGTCACATACTTACCGAAGTTGTCGGCCCGGGCTGGCGATGCAGCCATCAGAGCCACCACTAGCAGCGTCAAACGCTGCATCTTTGGTCAGTGGTGTCCCGTCGATGGATCAGAGCCTCCTGTCTGCAGGTCGCTCGGCGTGTCGGTCGAATCCGTCGGCCGCTCGGCTGTCCGTCGGTCGTCAATCGGTGCTCCCCGACCGCTGCCTTTCTCTCGCCTCCACAAACACTTGTGTCCTCAAGAGCGCAGCCCGCTCGCCACTCGCCGTTCTATAAGTCAGTTGGCGAACAGAAGGTGTTCCGATAGCGGCGCCAACTGATAGAGGATGACGGCTCACGGCGCCAGATAGGGCATCCGGAGACGGGCAGACCGCGTCACTCGCGCCGAGTGCCGAGACGATCACTGATATCACCCATAATCCAACGATAAGGACTGATAGGTTCTAATGGCGCTGATTGGCGGTATACTCGTACGTACTTCGCCCGTCCGGGACCACGGCGCTCAGGGCTGCTGCTCAGATACCTTGTATTTCTTTTGTGCAGCGTAGGGTTTGTTTATGAGGATTGAAAACACAACCACCATACCTCCTCTTTGCAATTGAACCTTCAATGTCCTTCACAGACAGACAGCTAGGCAGCCGCAGGCAGGCTTACGCAATACGCATGTTTTGTTCATCCGTCCAGAAGTGCCGGACCTTTTATTTGACGTGAATAATGACACGGCTATCGAGTGGCATTTGCAGGCATAACAATGGACGCCATTTAATTGCGTCCCAGAAAAGCTATTTCTGGCACCTAAAAGCTGACTCGCCCCAAAATTGGTCCTCAGCACCTATTTGGTGGATACCAGCACCAATCATGGAAAATGACCTTAATTAGCTGTTTCTGGCACCTATTCATCGGTACACCTTACTCTTTTTTTCTGAATCTGGCACCTAAATGCTGAGCGTAGCACCAATCTAGTAGAAAAATGAACTACTGGCTGGTAGAATCATGTTGTTCTGGTATAATGACCCCTGGAGTCTAGCCTAAAGGTTGCCAGTGCAACTACACTCTAAGACAGCCCCGTAGTGATCTCAGCATTGTATATGACGTTTAAGTAAGCAAATAATATTGATTTGTTTGAAAAACAATGTCATTTAAATATTTAAAAGTATTTATTTGTAATGCTTAAAGGGAAACATTTTTGTGAGTAATTGTCTCGATTTTGACCATTTAAACGGGTGTTGTATTTTTTGACGTCATCAAATAGCTCCAAAAAAGAAATGTAATGTTTTCATTCCGTTCAAGGCCGCTGAAGAAACGCGGGATCTTGCGTGGGACATTGTCCGTTGTTTGCCGCGCAGATGTGCCGTGGTTGTGCCTTTTTCATCCGTTTCGTACTTATGTGTGCATGAAGCTTTGATTTTGTTTTTGGTTATTGTGTGGCCGGTCAGTCAAACGCCCCTGTAGAAACCGGATGCTGCGTTTGATCGAGATGGAGTCAGACGATGATTGCAGAAAGCTAATAATATTGAAAAGAGGGCCTACTCCAGTTTACTCCAGTTTATGACCTGAGAGCCTGGCTGGAAGTGACGGATCCAAACTTTTCACGTTAAAATGGCTGAGGGTGCAATAATCTCTACATAGCGGGCTGGTATAGGAGCGTCTTGCTATGCTGCCCCATAGCTGGCTAGTGATTCTCTTTTGGCTAGAAATGGCATTAATCATTATCTCCACTGGCGAAAATGGCACTTGACATCACCGAATGCAACGTTCATGTTTGTTAGGATACATAAAATCAGGAAGATTACGCGAATTAGGTAGGCAAACGTGGAATAAAATAGGTGCTGGATGTTTTGGTTTTGGTGCTGAATCAGCAAACAGCAAATACGGAGTTCAACTAGACGATCTGGCAACTTTAGGCTGTGTGGAAGCAATTAGGTGCCAGATTCAGATATTAGGGTCGAATAAGCATTTTGGGGCTGATCAGCAATTAGGTGCCAGAAACAGCTTTTTAGGGACCAGAAACAAATATTTCCCCATAACAATATGTCACACCGATTTCTTTTGGTCCGCTGAACCTCCCGTCGGCTCTATGCACAGAGCGGAACAGACTACAGTGTAATAGCTCTGGCAATTTGACCGCGGCGCATGCACGCTGCGTTTGGTAGATTTTGTTGCCCGAGTAACATTGATCTCACTGTGCGTACGTTGATTAATGTTGTCCGCTCGGGCCCGGTGGCCGGATCTAATAGGCAACCACTTGTGTGGTCGGCCCTATTAGACAGATCGCCTGGGTAGTTGGCCTTTTGGGCCGCCCACCGCGTGGATCAGTTCAAGGTCAGCCCTATTGGTAACCCGTAGTTGTGGCAACTCTCCAGGGTGCATTGGGCTATCGGCCCTATAGGCATTGATCATCCATGCCTATAGGCAGCCCGATGAAATGACCGTCCGTACTTCTTGGTTACGGTCACCAACTGAAAAGGCTAGTCTCTCCACGGCGCGGTGGTGACAGGCTTTATACCTTCCTATCGACGTTTGTTTACCCTGTAAGCATTTAATTTAAAAAAGGAAAGTCGTCAATTATCGAAAGGCTGATAGATGTTCGTCAAAGGGAAATATGAGTACATAAATCCTCCGTCTCCTCAAAGTTTTCCTATCGTCAATTGGCTTCAATATTGGTTTATTTACCAATTCCTCGTACCATGTATGATTTCCATGGAAGGAGTTGTTTGCAGGGTGGCTATAAACAAGGAATAATCCTCGCTCCTTCCGCGCAAAAGAAGTGTTATATTTCTCAAAAGGTGCTCAGTTTTAACATCGACAATGATTCGAAATAACCTTATGGAATGGGTTATTCGGTCACTGTCAGCCGAAAGACAAGTCATTCAACTGACATGATGAATATTTCCACTATGTGTGGGTGTCCAAATCGGCTCGGTATATCGTTCGTCAGCAGCTGCTCCGTCTTTTGTCTGTCTGGCGCCGTCTTATTGCCTCGGTGGTGCTGTATTTACCGCTGAGCCCGACTGAAAAACCAGGTGTCCACGGCGGACGACCCTCGTCACCCACCCACAGTGACCCACCCACTGGCTACTGGCATCGTTCCGTCACCCAGACGACGCCAATGTACAGTCCAGCAAACAGGTGGTCCGGCGGGCATCAGGATACTCGTGGAAAACCATTTAAGTTATGGGTCTCTAGAGTCGTCGATGGAGGTCTGTTGAGCGGGCGCATTGCACGAATCCAATTTTGAACGGCATTGGACGTACTAGATGTTGAATATTGAACTCATAAGGAAGGGTTCAGGCGAATGCAGGTCTATAGGAATGACACTCTGGTGCTAAAGTATTTTGCATAATGTAAGATCAGCTGGCGTCTGCAAGACATTTTATGTCACCGTTTACCCTACAGGTAATGATTTAATTTTCATTAATGTAATGGACACTGCCTATGAGTGTGGTGTACCGTGTTGTGAGAACCATAACTTGCTATCCAGGGTCATTGTGTCACCTATCGTCGACCTCGCCCTAATCTGATTGGCTATAAATTGTACCGTCGGCGCGTCCGTCCACCTGCAGCGCTGCGTTGCGCGCGCGCGCTGCCTGTTGACCCGCCGCTGCCATGGCGGCCCGGCGGTAGCTCGGCAACAGGCTGTAACCCATCGCGGGCTCGTCAGATGGACCGCAGGAGTGGGCATCGATTCCGGTCCTGGCCGCCGATCGGATCGGGTCGGGCTTCTGCTCCTCCGCCAGTGGCGCACCGCTCAGAGGAGGGCGGCTCGGCGGTCTGCACGGGGAAACGGATCCGAGAGTGTATGGGAACGTCACCGGCCGAGGATGACGGTGTAGCAGTGCAGCATTCTGGAAGAGCTGAGTCTTCTGCTCGTAGAGGCTGCTGGAGGAGTTGACGCTCCGGAGACTAACTAGCGGAATACCCGAGAGGACACCACAGGCGACTGGTCCGCTGGGCGGGGTTTCCACCAGGAGACCCGTGAGTACTGCGCAGGAGGTGACCGTCGGCTTACGCGGCTGACCCAGCCCGTCCGGCGATGGCGGGGGGCGGGTCGGCGGCGCCCTCGGGGACGCCCTCCGCCGCGCCCTCAGCAGCGCCCTCGGTATCTCCCGCCCAGTCTCTCTCACCGCGGGTGGGTACCAGCCGACGCGCCAGCCTCATCAAGCCTCGCACCTTCCTCGGGGACGGGGCCGTGGAGCGGACGCGGCGGACCGACTCGGAGCACGCCGCGCTCGGAGTACCGCTCTCTGAGTGGCTCAAGGTGCGCCGCCGAGAGCAGAACATCGTCACACGCGTGGAGGCGATTGGGGAGGACGTGGAGAGACGTGACCCGGAGCTGGCCGCCATCGCTGCTCAGCTCAAACAAAAACACGCCGCCGAGGCGCAGAAGAAGAAGCTCACGTATGGGCAGATGCTGTGGGGCCGGCTGCGAATGAACGATAAATTGCGTAACCACTTGCGACAGTTCACTCAGAGACAGACTAAGGTAGAGCCGCTGGCGACGACAGGCCTGACGGCGGTGGAGTGCATCTCGCGAAGGCCGAGTCTGCAAGAGACGGCCGAGGAGGGTGGCGAAGGCGATACGGGGGCAGCTGGGGTGAGTGGTGAGGGAAAGACTGCGGAAGCTGTGGAGGGTGACAAGGGCGACTCAGCAGCGGCCACGTCCTGGACCGACGACCCAAACGTTCCGAGGGAGACTGAGGCGCCCGTCGCCGAGCCGCCGGAGCAGCCGCAACTGATTCACAGCGAGAACGGTCTGCAGATCACGCGCGTCAGGTCACCGTCGCTGAAATCGCTGAGGTCGCTGACCTCGGCCCGGGAGCGGAAGACGTCGACACCGGGAAGTGGCAGTCCAGTGCATGTGGAACGGCAAGTACCATCCAGAAAGGGGTCTCAGGAATTAGAAAAGGAACCAGCCAAACAATTGGGTCGGGATAGAGATATGGAGGGTAAAAAGGATCGTTCTCGTAATGCCAGTCCCAATGACATCACCAGATCTCGAGCAGCCAAAGTGAGTCCAGCCCAAAGTAACCACGCACGACACCCGAGCCCAGCTGCAGCCCAAAAGCCGGTGGCAGCGCGAGCGGCACCCCAGAGGCTCTCACCGGCCCCAGTAGGCCGTGGGAGGCGCGTCAGCGAAGCGTCCCTGGCGCCGGTGCGCGCAGCCCGCCCTGCGCCAGCCGCCTCAGACGACGACGCGGATGTGGTTGTTTCCACGCTCCCGCGGAGACCATCTGAGGCATCTCCGGGGCCGCCGAGACGCCGTGCCGCTGCTGGTCGCCAAGTGAGTGTCCCAACGAACCCGGCTGGAGTCCGCTCGGGCCCGGGAGCTCGCAGGCGAACTGATTCTGACCGACCGGCAAATGCTGGTAAAGACCGCCCAGCGCCAGCAGAGGACAGGAGGAAGAGTCATCAGACGACCGACGGAGCCGCGACTAGGGCTCCACGTGCCATCGTGCCGTTATCAGACAAAAACGATAATCGTCGTAAGAGTATCGCCCCTGCTATTGCTAAGAAAAATGACCCAAGACGGCTACCCAACCGAGCCAAAAGCGTTGTTGCAGCCCACGAGCAGACACAGAACAAGAAGGTATCCAAGCCATCAACTAACGCCAACCTGAAAATTAATCCACAAATTGCAACTGCTCATCGAACAAAAAGAAGCACAGGTCCCCGCGCACCCGATGAAAATCGAAGACAACGCATCGATTCTGTCGGCCAGGCCAGCGCTGCCAGCTCAGATAACGACGAGAGTGACGCTTCTGA